TTGATTTTGGTGGACTTTGAGGGCTTTTGATGGAGGTCAGCCCCCAGGAGGGTCAGCTTTCCACTCTGCCCTTTCTCTTCAGGGCCAGGAGGGAGACAGAGCTGGCCCCTACAATTGTTGGGCAATGGGACAAAGGTGGAAAGGCTGAAACACAGGACTCCTGACTCCTGCTTTCAACTCTTTCTTTTTTTCCATACTGGTCTTAGCACTTTATGGAAGTAATCTTTACAGCTCTCCTGGGTGAATTCCAGGAGTTAATTCTGTGCAGTAAGGGCAGAATAAGGGTTTCTGATCTTTGTCAGCTTTCTGTCCCTAACATTGTCTCAGGGTTACAATTTAAGCCTTGGCACGTGAAAGGAGGAGCGGGCAAGGTCTCTGACATCAAATATATGGCCCCACAAGGCACCTGCAGGATACAGGTAGACAAAAACAGGTGGGAAGGGAAAGGAGTAGAAAAAAAGAAGAGTTGGGTAAACTCATGAATTCCAGGATCAAATTAACTCTACAAACAAGGCATTATTCTTCCATAGTAGAAGTCTTGAAAATATGTAAGAAAAATCATATTACAGTTGATTTCCTGTTTTTCCAGCCACAGGAGTACGTAGGATAAGACTTACCTCGCAGGTTTCATCAATATTGAGTTTCATCCCTCAATTAGATTCTGTTGCTGAAAGTTAACAGAATTTATGTCTATTAACAAGTATTATGGAGACTTCAGTGAAATGCACCCAACATTTCAGACTGAACAGAACTGAACAGAAAATACACAGGAGAAATACAAGAAATCTCATCACATGTATTGATAACTAATAATTTCAAGATTTCTAACCTGCTTAGCATGGTTTAGTTCCTCTCTAAGACTTGCAGGGAGATAGAACAGCCAATATGTCTAGAATATGGCTCTAGAATAAAGAAAAGTTAAGGGAGCTCTCAGTTACTCATCTTACAGAATAAAAAGAGAAAGGCCAGCTCCAAAATAAAAAGTTTTCCTCAGTTGTTTTACTGCTGGGATCTACGGGATCTACACCCAGTAATATTTTTGTATTTTGGGGTTTTTTTTGGTATTTTTGGTATTTTTTGTATTTGCAGTTACATCGAGGTTCAGTCACCACAGCCAACCCCTCCCCAGCATCAGACTTTCCAAGGGTATTTATATCCTAGTAGGGATTTGCACAAATTCCTCCCTGCCTACCTTCTAAGGGAATTAACAGGGTTTAAGTATTTAGTTGCTTAGAAAACATTTCTTGAGGTGCCTTTCACCATATGGCTGGATAACTTCCCAGGTCTCGCCCTTCCCTGGAGAATGGGGAAGCAAATCCATTTTGGATTTAAAGTGGAATTAAAGCCCCAAACAGTGATCACAGAGGTGGAGGTCACCTCCTGCCCCTCTTTCACGGGTACATGGGGGGCACAGCTGCTGGAAGTGGATGGGAATGATACAGTGAATAGAAGGCACATTTTGATCTCACAGTTACTCCTGTTTCCACTCCAGGATGCATTCCAGGCTTTCCATATCAATCCCACCTTGGTGCAAAAGTTTCTCAAGCCGTTGCTTATTGGAGAACTTGCTCCAGGGGAGCCCAGCCAGGACCGAGGTAAAAACGTGAGTATTTGTTTCTGATCTGGGGTTCATGGTGGGTATTCCTGCCATTCTTTCCTCTTGGGGTGTTCTCCAGGTCAGAAGCAGGCAGATTATAAAGGTCTTGTCCCTACAGACAGCTCCAGAAAGGGAGGAAAATTGTCAGTAACTAAACATCTCCACATGGCAACATACACATCCCAATATAGGTTTAAGTGTTGGTGGGAGTGGGGCAACAGGTTCAGACTGTCTGTGCTAGCCTTTCCTTTGCCACAGAGCCACCAACAGCTGATTCCTAGGCTGGCCTGATCCCGTCCTGAAGGGAAATGGGAACTGAGACATGTGGAAAGGGAAATGTGCAGCAGCTCTGGTGAGCTCTGGGGTCCCTTCTGCCGTTCCTCCTCTGGTGACAAGCTCTAAAACATGTCACCACTTGCCTGTTGTGGGGGAAGGAGAGGAGTAGGCAAAGGAGTCTGAATAGGCTCCCAGACAGGTGTTCACCACCCAAGCAAGACCTGAACCTCTTTCCCTGTTTGCTCTGCAGTTCCCTTTGGCATATTAATCCCAGGGAAATGCCTCTTTGAGACTCGCACTGGCTCATCCTGCTGAGCGCAGTGCCAGCAGAGCTCTGGGGAGCACACGCTGTGCCATGCATGGCGTGAGCACAGGTGACCCAGACGTCTCATTTTGGTGGCTGTGCTAACAGGAGCAACCCACCAAGCACCCTTTCCACCCACTTGCCGTCCCCAGGGCAGCTCTGCTCCCTGCCAGACCGCTCATCCATAATTCAGGCCCGGAGCGTGGCACGCCTGGCTGCTGCCACGAAACCCAATCCTGCCCCCTTGTTTGTGGCTGGTCATGATTATGATAGATCTGTGTCACTCACAATAGAGGAGCCAGCAGTGACCCCCAGTGACCCAGGGACGCTCCTCATGGGTGAGCGCACGGCACGACCCCGCAGCTTGAACAGACGACATTGGATGCTCATCATCGGAGCTCTGGAATTCTGCACAATAGCACTGGATTCTCTCTTTCTCCAGCTTCTCTTCAGTACTTGGGAAGCTCATTCAGGCAGGAGTCATCAGGTGATATGACTCTTGACAGAGCCAGGTCGTGCTGCTGATCCACAGCGGGAGGCTTGAATTACTCTGCTGGCTGGAGGTGCAAAAGGTCAGGATGTGGGCTCAGACCAGCCAGGGTGTTTATTTATAGGGAAGTGCTGTGAAAAGCTGGAAAACGAGGGGAATATGGAGGCAGGCCCTTTCCTTCTGGAGTAGCCAAGCACTGCAGGGTCCTTAGCATGGGAGTCATCCTTCAGCTCGTTCAGATTCCCTCCAAAGCCTCACACTGCCCTTGCCTGTCTCCTGCAGTCCCAGCTGGTGGAGGATTTCCGGACCCTGAGGAAGACTGCAGAGGACATGAAATTGTTCAGAGCAAGCCCTTTGTTCTTCTCTCTTTACTTGGGCCACATTATTGCAATGGAAGTGTTGGCCTGGCTGATGGTTTCATACTTTGGTACTGGCTGGATCACGACCCTCATCCTGGCCTGCATCCTTACGACTTCCCAGGTGAGAGCCTGCAGGGATGGAGCACGCTGGCAGCACAGATCACTCAGGAGAAGGACAGTGTGCGCTGAACTCTTCGTATTACATTACTTACCAGCGCAAAACAGTCACACCAGTGAAAAATACTCACAACTTACCTGCCACTGTGGTGCCTCCTGATTGTGGCTCACGCATTTTTCTCACCTTTCTCTTTTCCTTCCACATCTTGGTGGATTTGGCACTGTCACGTTTACGGTTGGGTTCGTGACCTTCAGGGTCTTTTCCAACCTGAATGGTTCCACGATTTAATGTTCCCCTCCTGAGATCTTCACCTTCTCACTCGGTTAATTCCCTGTCTTCCTCACACTCACAGTGTGCTTTCCATCTCTGTTTCTTTTGTGCTTCACTCTCATTCCCAACAGCTTCCTAACTGTTTGATTTCCCTTCATCCCAGGCCCAGGCAGGGTGGCTGCAACACGATTTTGGACACCTGTCTGTCTTTAAGAAATCTTCCTGGAACCACATCGTCCACAAGTTTGTCATTGGACACCTGAAGGTAAAGGACACTGTGGAACCAGGGCTCTGTAGAAACACCTGTGGGTCACTCTGGCCCTGTCAGGGCAGGAAAGAGCAGCTCTAAACCTTCCCAAAGTGAGCAGAAGCACAAAGAACTTTGTGGCCATTGTACATGGAGCTGTTCTGCGGAAGAGATAAGAGATTGTATTCATAGCTGAGTCAGTAATTCCACAAGTTCCAGTGGAACCGCTCCAATTTATACCAGCTGAGGACAAAGCTTAATAAAAAACATAACTTTATATATCCATATTTTCGCCATGCACTCCAATAAGGAATAATATCTTTCAGACACCCCATCCTGCTACATCCCACCCATTCAAGATGCCTCCAGGATTTCTATCCTGTGTAAAGCCCAGTGCTACCCAGGCATTTCATCCACGTGCAGCAGGCACCGTTGTCCCAAACCCACTTTGTGCCTCACAGGCAGAGAGGGAAACAAGGATAATAATTGGCAGGGCAGCAAGAGGGTTTAGTGGTGGATTTGGTTAGTGTTAGTTAATGCTTGGATTTGATGATTTTACAGGACCTAAATGATTCTATCCATCCCTGGAAGTGTCCAAGGCCAGGTTGGATAGGGCTTGGAGCAACCTGGCCTAGTGGAAGGTGTCCCTGCCCACAGCAGGGATTTGGAACTGGGTGGTCCTTAAGGTCCCTTCCAACCCAAATCATTCTATGTGGGAAGACACAGTGACATGGAACTCGCTGAGAGTGTATTTATTCCCTGTCTTTCACTGTGGATGATCCTTAGTGAGGATGAACCATCCCTCTGGAACCAGCAGTCTCATAGCAACCAACAGCTCAGCCACTCCCTGCTTGCTGCTCTTTCAAAAGCAAATAACACTTTGATAACGTGATCTGAGTCGCACTGGTTTAGTTTATATAAATGATTGGGAAATCCTACCCTTGGAGGAGGTGGAGCTTCCCAGGGATGAATCCCTTGTCCCTGTGTCTGCCCAGGGTGCCTCTGCAAACTGGTGGAACCACCGGCACTTCCAGCACCACGCCAAGCCCAACATATTCCACAAGGACCCAGATGTGAACATGCTGCACGTTTTTGTCCTTGGAGACACACAGCCTGTCGAGGTAAGGAAAAGTGGGTAAAAACATGGAAAACTACTGCCTGAAAGGGCTTCAGGCAATGATTGTGCAAATCCAGGAATCGGCTTCTGTTTGGAAGACGTGACTTGCACAGTCAAGACTTCCAGGAATGCTAGAAAGGAAATGTTTAATCCAGAGATTTCATCTGTCTGACGGCAGTTTGGCCATCACACCCTCCCCAACCCTTGGGCTGAAGGGCAGGGTTGACTAATAGTTCCCTATCCATCTCCTGAACTGACCACAGTTTTGGGGTTTCTTGGGAAAAATAATGCAGATGAGGTTGGAAAGAGAGCAGAAAACCCTTAAAGGCAACTTCATCCTGCTGGCCAGAAATATCAACACAAGGGGGAAAGTGTGCTCCTCAGTCCTCCATAAAGAGCATTTCAAAACTGATTTTCCATTTCCATAGCAAACATCTTCCAGCATTAGTCAACCCAGCTGTGCCCCAGATGATCTGCACGAGGTCCTCTCCAGCAGCTGGAGGGATATTATTTGCATAAGAATATTTTCTCAGTTTTTTACATTAACTGACACACTGCACATGAATGAACAGGCTACATTCAGTGATTGTAATTCAGTCTGTCCCTCCAGAGCCAAAATATTTGCTGTCTACTTACAAAAACCTACACAGAGACTTAAACCATGTACCACCCTTTGTCTTTTTCACAACGGAAGGAGGATTTCTGGTTTACAAACAAAAAAAAAACCTGAAGAAAATAAACAAAGAAAATAAACAAAGAAGCACCTGCAGCAAAGACAACACAGAAATGCAACATTGAAAATGGTTTCTCAGCCAGCTTTTATACTATTAAGAAAGTAACTCCAGAGACATGTAGGGGGGACAGACACTGGTATAGGGTCATTGGGAAGTTGTTGTGCTGGGAGCAATAATGCAAGTTCACAGCAATCCATCTTCTCCAGGCTCCTGGTGGGAGCAGTCCTGGAGCTCAAAAAAGACATTTCTGTATAGCTTTAGATATACTTCACTGTGGAGGTGAAGTTTGCAGACCTGGTGCTTCTGTTTTGCATGGAAAACTACACAAGGATTGTTGCCTGGCACAGACATTCCGTGCAGTGACTTCCAGAAAGTCAGGCTTTATGCCTATCACATTTATATCAGGAATGATGGAGGTGCTGGCGGATCTTATCATGGCCACAGGCATGGCAGAAGGTGGAGAAGTGCATTAAAATGCCATCAGGCTCTCCAGGAAATAGAAATTACCTGAATATTAAGCCAGGAGGCTTTAAAAATGAGTTTACACTTCACACAATTGCAAAGACATGATATTTAATCATCCCCATACACTTCTTAGCTGGTGGTGGGCAATCAGTCAAGACTCTGCAGCCAGTAAACCAAGCATTGCAGAGACTCTGCCCCTGCCTGTAAATGGCACAATCCAAGGCTGAGCTTTCTCCTCTGTGTCCTGCAGTATGGCAAGAAGAAGCTGAAGTACCTGCCTTACAACCACCAGCACGAGTACTTCTTCCTCAGTGAGTATCTGCTCTCCACTTCTCCCTTTTCCTGGAATGCCAGTGAACCCTTCCAGTCCTTCTTGTGTTTGTCAGGACCACTGTGAATGCCCCCAGGTCAGGGCTGGGAGTCACCTCCGTGGGAGACACTGAATGGGAAAAAAAAAAAATAAAGAGCATGTTCCAAGCTCCCTGGGACCAGTCCCAAATCACCTGCTGGCTCATGTCACACGCCTTCCCCACCCCTCTGATGGCCACAACATCTCCCTTTGCTTTTGCAGTCTTCCCACCTCTGCTCATCCCCGTGTACTTCCAAATCCAAATCATCTCGACCATGATCAGGCGCAGGTTCTGGGCGGTGAGTGAAACATTCCCTCCACCCTGGGGGGGTCTGGATGTTCCACAGGAAATCACTCTGGAGCAGAGAGGGAGAGGGGTTACCCAGGGTGCCCAGCATCACCAGCAAGGACACGCTATCCCAGGTGGGCAAAGGGATGCCTGATGTCTCCTCTCTTCCCTAGGACCTGGCCTGGGCCATCAGCTACTACCTGCGCTACTTCATCACATACATCCCCTTCTACGGCCTGCTGGGATCCCTGTGCCTCCTCACGTTCGTCAGGTAGGAGAGAAAGGCCATCCCTGCTGCCCTCCCCCCCCTCCAGTGCCAGGCAAGTCCAGCCTCAGCTCTGCTGTGCCCTTTTTTAGGTTCCCTGTGTGTTATCTTGGCAGTTCCCACTGCTTCACTTCCCTCTGTCTCCCAGTCCAGCCTCCCTGCAGCAGAGGAGGTGCTGGTGCTCAGCATCTCCCCTGCACTCTCCTTGCTTTCCTCATCCCCTGTTGCCACACACACTGTCCGATCCCAACATATTTACGCAGATTTTTTCCCACTTTGGCTGTGGCTGGATCCTTCCAGGCTTCTCTGGCCACCCTTTCCCAGAGGGGATTCTGTACCTGCTTCCAGCCTGAAATCAGGCTGAAAAACTTATCTCACCTGACCCATTATTTCAAAAATTTTTCATCAAGCTCAAAGTGCAAGAAAACAAACAAACAAACAAACAAACGCAAAATTGCAGAAAACAAGCCTAAAGACTTAAACAAGGTTGGTGAACATCCTGGAACAAGGATGGGTCCAGGCAACATCTTGTCAACATACCTCTAAATCTCAGTTTATATTAATGTAACTACAATAAAGTAGTTCCCTTTAACTTCTTGGTTAAAGGGAATAAAAAATGCATTTATGCAGACTGTTGTACAGGTGCTGAAAAATGCCATTTTGTGCCATAAGCAATAAAAAAGCCACTCTAAAGAAGCCTGAGGCAGAGCTGAGACTTGGAGTGGTTCTGAGAGAGCAATTTACCTCAATACCTCAGAGAAATCTCCTTCTTGCAGGAGGATATCCTCCCCTCCTGATGTCCCCACCTGTGTATCAATTGTCAGGATTTCTCCTCTCTTTGAAGGTTTCTGGAGAGCCACTGGTTCGTGTGGGTCACCCAGATGAACCACATTCCAATGGAAATTGATTCTGAGAAGCACAGAGACTGGCTGAGCTCTCAGGTAACCAGGAGGGAACAAAACACCCCAAACTCGCCCCAAAATGGAATCTACTCTAAGACTGGGTTACCACTACCCCCTGTGTAGTGTAGGGTGTCTGCCCATCACCCCTCCCGTGAGGACCTTCTTCCCAGAGCCAGCGGAGCTGGGTCAAGTCATGGAAGCCTAAAAATTTTGGAATTAATTTAATCAAAAGGTTCCTTCAGATTTGAGGCAGTATCAGGTTAAAGAAGCGTGATTTGGCTTTCCTGTGTGCTGAATTTTGGCACAGAGATACAAACAGTAGAGACTCAGTGACAATCAAAGCTGGAGGGAGAGCTCAGTACAGCCAGTTCAGAGTACAAGAGGATTTTAAGAAAGAATATCTAATTTTACAACCATCAATAGCAAGAATAGCTAATAGATACTGTCAGAATGCTCAGACCTGGCACTTAAGGCACACTGGGAATTAAGTAGATGGGGTAGAAAAGCAGGCTTTGTGTCCATGCCTTTTTCCTGCCCCCTTTTTCACACTGGTACTGTTGTTAACCATCTGGTTTTTATTGGGAGAGGCTGAGACTGAGGAGCCTGGGCTCGGGTTGCCACACCACTTTACCACCAGTCAAACCCCTGGACTTTGACTTACTTCAGGTTTGCTCAACAGTAAGCCCTGAAGGGGGATTAAAGCTCCCCTTGCTGCGCCCAGCAGCCCCACCACGACAGTGTCTGCATTCTGACAGCTCAGGCAAGAGGAGCTTTGCTCTGATTTTGGGGTGAGATGTCACTAATCCTCGCCTTTTCCTGCCCCCACAGATGGCAGCCACCTGCAACATCGAGCAGTCCTTCTTCAACGACTGGTTCACCGGGCACCTGAATTTCCAGATCGAGCACCAGTGAGTACAGACCCAGCATCACCTGGCCTTGCTGCCAAATACTTAAGCTTTCACTCTCACAGTTCTATTCTGGGATTTATTTAGGAGCTATGATTATGTATCTACCAGTCACAAAAGCTGTGGGCTCAAACCCTAAGCGAACTATTATTCCCGAAACGATTATTCCCAAGGCTTTCACAGAAAACTTGAAACAGAGGGCTGGTAGAGCATGGATGTGTCTGTGCCTCTCTTCCTTTGTCTGCCTGTGCAGCCTGAGGAGGAGGACACACTAACAATGAGCCCCCTGAGGATGCAGACAGAGATGTCCATCCCTTGGGGTTTGTCTCCAGGGTTTCCTCAGGTTTGTTTTTTCGCTCTCCCTCTCTCTCTCTATTCCAGCCTGTTTCCAACAATGCCACGGCACAATTTCTGGAAGGTGAAGCCTTTGGTGAAGTCGTTATGTGCCAAGTATGGAGTCCAGTATGAGGAGAAGCCTCTTGGGAAAGCTTTTGTAGACATTGTTGGGTAAGGTCCTTCTGGTATCACCTGCAGCTTCAATTTATGCTTACAGGGATGGCACATCCTGTATTTTCTAGCACAGAGAATTCAGGGCACTATAGACCCTTCAGGAATACCATGTCAATGTGATGTTGCTATCAAAATACCAAACACACAACATTTAGATGGTTACTAACCTGATGTTGGGGACGTGGTTCAGTGGTGGCTCAGCAGTGCTGGGAGCCTTGATGATCATAGAGGGCTTTTCCAACCTTAATGATCCTGTGATTTGACAGGGACCTTCTTTAAAACACCCTTTTTTGAAATGCTGCTCTGGCAGCTGATGATTCTTGGTTCTGGGAGCTGGCAGCTGATCTGCAGGCTGCAAAGGGAGATGAATCAAAGGGGGGTGAGTCAGGTTACAGCCCGTGCTGCATCCCACGTGAGCCCTGCCAGCAGCAACAGGCAGAGCTGGAGAGGATCTAACAGTCCTTGTCAGCAGCCTCTCTGCTAATGGTTCTGTCTCAGTTTCTCCAAGGGGAATAATTTATGACAGGGAACATGAGAATGTGTCCTGCAGTCCAGGGGTGTCCTGCACAAGATGAAAACTGGCTCAAAACCTGCTTTTGTCCCCAGACACAGCGGGGTGATGGATGCCCTGCAAGAAAATTTCATGGTGAATTAAAATATTTGATGCGAATTAAAACATTTGCTGGGACAAGGGGAATGGTTTAAACTAAAGAAAGATCTTTAGATTGGATATCAGGGAGAAATCCTTCTCTGTGAGAGGTGAGGCCCTGGCACAGGTTGCCCAGAGAAGCTGTGGCTGCCCCATCCCTGGAAGTGTTCAAGGTCATGTTGGAGCAACCTGGGCTAGTGGAAGGTGTCCCTGCCCGTGGCAGGGGGTTGGAACTGGATGAGCTTTAAGATCCCTTCCCACCCAAACCATTCTGTGATTCATATCAAAATTCAGTAACAGGTTTCTTTACAGGAAAAGAACCACCAAAGACGAGATTCACAACCCAACCAAACTCGCCTTCATTCTCTTCCCACAGGTCCCTAAAGAAATCTGGTGACCTGTGGCTGGATGCTTATCTCCACAAGTGAACATGAGTCTTGCTGGGGAGGTGTGAGTGACCGGGAGGGCCGGGGTGGGGGGGGAGCGGGGGGTGGGAATCACACTCGTGTCTTTTACTCTCAGATCTCAGTCTGTATCTACATGCACGGTCGGAGGGGACTTTCCTGTCTTGTCAGCTGCCTCGGGTTCATCCCAGACAGATTTCAAATGTGCTTCAGAGGAGGAAAAGCGATGCCAGTATTGCATGAAACGGAAGGTTGGGAGAGGATGATGAGGAATGTTTAAAAAAGGGGCATTAATATACGACCTTGACCTTCTTTTTCGCAAGATCCGCTCTAATTTTGCCCAAACCACTCATGCCCTGATTCACACGTGGGTTTTTAGGCCCCAGAGAACGTTTTCGAGCCAAGGACCCCCCCAGTCAGCTCATGCCTCTTTCCCATGTTTGTGTAAAAGAGGAATCCCATCCCATGGGACCGGCAGCTGCTGGGCTGTGCTGGGAATTCCAGCCCTGCCCAGAGCCCAGCTCCCTCCTTTCCTTCTCTAATCATAGCATCCCCCTGTCCAAGCTGTGACACTCACCCTGCACAACTAACCCCTAACCCTATTTTTAGCAGCAGCCTCCATTTCCAGGGGTTTGTAGAAGATTTTTGGGCTTAAACAGAAAAATGTCTCCTTTAGGGGAGGGTCTGTTTTCTCTTTAACGAGCAGCAGGTCTGGCATAGCATTATGGCTGTCAGGAAATGACACAAAAGACCAAAACAAGTCACAAAAGCAAAACTTGCTAATTGCTCATCAGTGCCCTGGAGGAGCCACAAATGGGCTTTTCAGCATCCTGGGCTGCAGGAGCACAGGGTTCTGCCTGTCTGCACATGCCTGGCAGGCACCAAAGTGCTTGTCAGAGGCCAGGAGCCATGGCACTGTTCACTCTTCCCTCGGGAACCAGCAGAGAAGAAAAGGAGCTCTCCCTGCAGAAGGAGGAGCTGCACAAACATTTGATCCCAACCCTTCTGAAATCAGGACTGACTGGGCTGAAACCTCCTGGAGAACCCTCTCCCAAGCTGTCTAAAACTCGGTTTTCTGCCCGACACCTGATTACCAAAATGCACTGATAGCTTACCAGATGTGGCTGAACAGCATCCAGGTGCTCCTGTAACAGGCAACCTGATCCCAGACAAATCCAGGGCTTTGGATCAGGTGTAATCCAGCGTTCCTTCTGGGTCATGACAAAGGGCTGTGGTTTCAAAAGCAGCCTCCAGCTCCCACAGCCGTCTCAGTGCTCACTGGAAACACACACAGGAGGGAGACTCTGGTTACTTTTCATGCCTCATTACTTCCCTCAGCTCTGAAACTGGATCTTCTCTGTCAGCTCCTTGAATTCCAACAGTGTGCCACAGAACCAGCAAGGTGCTTCGTGAGCAGAGACAACTCTGGGACTCTGGCCAGCGTTTCAAAAACAAAAAATAAATGTACTCCCACCCCCCACTGCCTTCTTTGGGAAATAAAATGAGATTCTATCTTTGCTTACAGGTGGGAAATTCAGCATCAGGATTGCAACTTGAGCTGCCCAGTAGTAGTTAGAGTTTGTGAAGGGCTTGTTCTGGTGTTCTCAGCCGCCTGAACATCACCAGGAATGTTTGGGATGAAAAGCTTCTGTCTCCAGGGTACCTGTTGCTCAAACAGACTTGGAGCAAATTGATTTCTTAGTATCATAAACAACAGCATCCTTCTGGGTGCTGTAATTTCCCAGACAGACAGTAACAAGCTAGTCTGGAATCGTGGCTAACCTCATTAAAATTGCCTTAATATGTACATCCCTTCCTGACTCCTTGAATGTATCTCCCTCTCTGTGCCACCACAAGCCCACAGTTGGATCAGCAGTGCAAGCTTTGAAACGTTCAGCTCGTTCTTCTGACAAGCCCACATTTTTTTGCCACCCCTCCAGTTCTTATTTCCAGAGCAAATATTTTTTTTCTCCTTAGCCCTGTTCCCTCTTCTCCTCTTGGGAAACTGTTTGCTTTGTAGCACCTATAGAAACTGCTCAAAGCTCAGCCTAGGTAAATAGTTCTACTTTAGCACCCTGGCTTTCCTGGGGGCCACTGACCAGTTGAGTGGAAGAACTGGTTTTTTGCTAAAAACCCAGCACGAGAGCCTGGCCTAACAGGAGGCAGCAGCTGAAGATTCCAGGAGACCAACCATCTGCAGAAGGAAAGACCAGCTCTCAGGCAATTTTTTTCTTCCCAAAAAAACTTGGTAAAAGGGAAGAAGGGAGGACAGGATTGATCTGGAGATTCAGCCTCATGAAAAATTCCTTTTCGTGAAAAAAAAAAAAAATGTTCAGTTGCTCAAATCCAGAAATAAAACCCGTGCACTGGTGAAGTCAGGGCTGATTCCCAGGTGCCATGGATGGGTCTTGCTCTTGCAAAAGAAAAAAAGGTCTGTTCACAAAAGAGCAGGGCACCAGCTCTCTGTAAGCGGCTGGGCATTTCTCTTCTTAATTTAATTTTTATGCGCAAAAAGCTTATCTGGTGAAAATGTAAGATACTGGTAATTTTGTTCAGGCAAAGCCTCTCTGGCTCATATGGTTTCTTTCGCCTCCCTCCAAAACATCCCAACGCTCTGTGTTGGAATTCAAGGTATTTCCTAAGTGCCTTGATGCCTCCTTGACTCCCCATCCCTGGAAGTGTTCCAGGCCAGGTTGGACAGGGTTTGGAGCAGCCTGTTCCCCTGGAAGGTGTCCCTGCCTGTGGCAGGGGGTTGGAACTGGATGATATTTAAGGTCCCTTCCAACCCAAGCCATTCTGTGATTCTGTAAATTCTCCATCCTTTAACTGGAGCAGGTCAAACAGATCCCTGACAAAGAGCCCTGGAAGTCTGGCTCAGTTTTGGTTTGTTATCACTGTAAGTAGCATCAAAACAAAATGAGGCTTACAGGGATATTCCAGAAGTTTCAGTAAAACTGCAAACATAGAAGGATATAAACTTCACATCGTGAGCTTGCTTGGCTTTGTCTCCAACACAGGCAAAAGGCAGCTACCAGTCAGTCACAAACATCCCTTGCAGGTTCAAATTTGCCATTAAAATGACTGAAACTCAGAATGTAAACAGAGTTTTGCTCAGATTTCTGAGGACTCTGACTCCTTTCTCTGAAAATAATGAGGAGAAGTCTTGTTCACCTCGTTCTCGTTTCCCCCTTGATAAAGGTCATTCATTTGCACTGTAATGAGACACAAACATGGAAAAAAAAAAAATCAGTAAGACTTGCTGGGAGCCTGCCAGGGGTTATTGAACCCAGCTCCACCACAGCACTGGCACATGGCAACGGGCAGAGGCCACGAGCTGGAAACACAGAGCTGGTGTCAGGGCAGATAATCAAACACCAGCCAGGGAAGGGCTGGCTCTGCTGCTCCTCACACACTTCTTGGTGGGGACTGCAGTAGGAAGAGCTGGAGGACCAGGAGGGTTGAGGAAAGTTGGCATAAACTGCAGCAAAAGAGAAACCTCTGGGCAGAACAGAGGTGGGCACGAGGTTTGTGAGGAGAGGGACAGGGAGGGGAGAAACTCGGGAAGGTAAGGTGCTGGGGAGGGATGCAGGAGAGTGGGAGGAGAATTGCCAAGGGGGTGAAGAGAGAGAAGAAAAAGCAACTTGGAATCAGGTGTCCCTTGTTCTCCCAGCTCCAGGTGTCTGCCTGGAGAACTGTGCTGGAGAAGGAGGCGAGACAGGGCAGAGCTCGGGCTCAGAGGAGAGGCAGGGGCTGGTGACATCCCTAAAAAGCTCATGCTGAGCTGGATCTCACACTGAGCTCCCCCCCAGCCCCAGCTCTGAGAGCAGGGACTGACTAGAAATGGGAATTAGGGGACTTGCACTGGGGTTTTCCCTTTAAGCATGGATTTGAGGAATCTAGATCCCAACTGCTCACTGAAACAGGGTTTGGCAGGCTCAGAGCCTCATCAGGACCCATCTCCAGGCACCATCTGGGCACTCTGGCTGGATTTGAGGTCTTTCTTAGGGCAAAGACATCCTTTTCCTTCTGTCACAAGCTGCCATGCCCTAGCCATGGCCTCTCCTAGCAGATGCTTTCCTAAGAAAGCCTTCCTAACAAAGCCCTAACATTCCCAACGTTAAAAGAGCAAACCCACATTCCTTATTAGGACAGGTCCTGATTTTTTTCATTCTTTAAAAATAAAAATAAAATATTTCAGTAACTCAAAAAGAACAATTTTTTTTCTTGTGTATTCTGCAACTCAATAAAATCATAACCATTTGTTGACCATCAAAATGCTTTATGTGGTTTTTTCCAGGCACGTCCAGAGGGTCAGGGCAAGATTTGGCATAAAGGGGGATCATGCCTGATTTTCAGATTTAATCTTGTAACTGCTGTTTTCAGCAGTTGAAAGTCAGACCCCCAAACCAAGGAGACCATGGAAGCAAACTCTGAAAAAGGATGTGGGATCAGACTTGCTGATTATGGCTTCCCTTGGTTTTCCCAAGTGTTTTGTTTGTTTCTCACAGAGCTGGCGATTGTGGAAAGTCCTTTTTGCACTTCATAGGATGAAATTAGGGAAATTACTTTTATAGCAGGGATAGGTTTCTTTATCAGCCTTCACACAGCTCGGGAACAATAATGCTGCTTTCCCTCATCCTAGGGAAAAGCACTACAGAAAAGGAAACCTTCCTGTCCAAGATTTGCCTGGCCACTCAAACTCAGCCTCCAGACTGTTCGGGGAGGCAACTGGGGACAAAATTGCTGTGAAAACTTCATAGAAGCATTGAACAGTTTTTCAGGAGTCAATTTTCTGCCCATTCATGGCTCATCCAGGGCTATGGTGAGCAGCTTTTCTAACCCACAGCTTGGACCCAGTGCTTTGGTGGCCTGAGATCAACACCATCAGTGAGTTTTAGGTCACACACCATTTGAGGACAATGCCATCAGTGGACCTGAGGTCAGCCCAGAGGCTTTAACAGAACTGGGAGGCTGTTAGTTCTCCCAAATAACCCCATTTGGACCTCAACCATCAGCAGGAGCAACACAACAGCCTGAGGCTGTGAGTGGGGAGTGGCTGTCCCAGTCAGGAGACACTCTGATGGTTGGGGAAGGCCAGAGGGGGCTTATCTGCCACCCTAAATCAACACCACAGCTTTTCCAGAGTACACAGAAATTGCTCCATAGGTAAACCGGAGAGCAGGTCCTGTGAGCAGTCCAACCACAAAGTGACCCCACTTGCCTCACTTCTGGGACTTTTATTTAATCCTAGAATAAACACGTTCCCCTGACACAAACACGGGGAGCTGTTACACAAAAATAAACTGTTACAAATCAATAAACATTTGGCTTTCCTCCCTGGGAGTACAACTGAGCATCCCAGGACAACGTGGCTCGAATCTCCGAGCATTCCAAAGGAAGATGGCTCAGAGGGATCAAGGACCTGGCACTTCTGGGATCACATTCTGGATTAAGATGCCTGCACTAAAACACTCTCTGCTTTTCCACAGGGCTTGTATCTCTGCTGGCAATCTCAAGGTATTAGTTGAAATGTGGAAAGGTAGCCAGTTTTCCAAGTTTTATCTTCCACAAGCTCATCCTCAGCCTATCCAAAGGTCAGCCTTTGTTCAGCCGAGAATTGGGAAGCCATTATGCCCCTGTGAACCCAGTACACTTGGCTTTTTGGGTTTTATTTATCTTTATATTTATATTTTTATATATTATATCTTTATATTTATATATTTATATATTTATTTTTTAAATTATTTTTAATTTATCTGGTTTTAAGTTGTGAAAGACTGAAACTTCCACAGGTTAGTTGAAATTAAGCCTTTTTAACTCCCTCCCTTGAAATTAGCACAGGGAATCCACAACAGGAAATCAACATAAAATGCACCTAAGCTAGACTTGATGATCTTAATGGTCATTAATAATATTGCTTTAAAAAAAGTTTTCCTAGCTCTGCAGTTACCCAGTTCCAGATGTCTCAGGAAACTGTTTCACAACACACCTTGGCATCAGAGTGGTAAGAAACACGTTTGTGGTGCTCAGACATGCAGTTTTCACCCAGACAGTGCAAGAAGGTACCTTGTCACACAGAATCCCAGAATGGTTTGGGTTGGACAGGAACTTTAAGGCCCATCTCATTCCACCCCCTGCCAGGGGCAGGGACACCTTCCACTAGACCAGGTTGCTCCAGTCTGACCCTGGACACTTGCAGGGATGAGGCAGCCACATCCACCAGCTCCCTTTTTGCAGCAGGTTTTTAAAATTCTGTTCAAAAGAGTCAGTGACAAGTTGAGCCTCATTCAGCATTTGTGCTGGGTTACAGCACATTATCATATATTTTACTGGGCAGCTTGAAAAGTAAGTCTGAATTCCTCAAATATCATCTAGGAAACACTTCCATACTGAGTCCTGCCTACACCACTCCCCCGTCCTGGCTGGCTGCAGGTTCTATAGAACAGGGCATAGGTGAAGGCAAATATTCCATTCCCATTTCCACACAGACTCATCATCCATTTCAAGACTATGTTATAAATATCATGAAGGGAATAATCCAGGATTCCAGAATTCAAGAGCAAGCCAGGAGGTGAATCACACCCCCATGGCAACCCTGATGTAAAATATAAATAAAAGTGTTATCTAGACCCCCAGAGGTTGGTGGGGGCAAATTTCCACTGGGGCAAGTGATGACGTTTTCTTAAATATCCTGTGCCAGAGCTTTTCCACCCATGACTGAGGTCTCAGGGTCAAAGGAAGCTCAGCAGAAATCCAAGAAAGGGGGGGAAGAAGGTCAAGGAGAAGAACCCTCACCTGGAAGCACCACCTTTGCCTGGAGCACCCTTCTGAGCACAGTTAGGTAACCACACATCGACATCCAGGTGCTGGATGTGTGGGTGACAATGAGAGGATTAATCACCTTAATTGCCCGTGATTGCCCCATCCTCCTTCAAACGGGTGTGGCTGCCTCACTCGCCTGATTAATTTCATTGCCCTTAATTATCTTGGCCTCAGGTCTGTTTCATTAAGCAGCAACTGGTTTTCTACAAAACATAGGAACCACACTGCTCTTTCTCAGTGTGTTTGATTCCCTTGTTACTCACAAGATGCCTGATAAATCCTGAGAACTCGGGTCCTGAGCTGAAATTACCACCCTTTGCAAACCCACAAAACCTTCAGGCCACGCTCACGACCCCAAATGGACCGAAGCAGCACAGCCTGTGCTTCACCATCACCCAGGGGAGGGGCAAATAAAAGCGTGAACCTAAATCAAAGTGCTGCTGCCAATTCCAATTCCATCCCATGCTGGTTCTTGTCTCCCCATCGTGTCTCACCAAATGCTGAAATTAAGCACCTGATTTAGTGAAGGAATTCAAGTGAACTGCAATCCAACAGCACTAGAGGGCAAGGCACCATGAATCCAGTGTTCCAGCAGCATTCCAGCATCATGACTCCTTCCACATCCTGCAAAAAAATCAGCAACTCGATAATAGCAAAGTGTCTGGGCTTGAATGTTGCAGCAGGAGATTCTGGGCAAGTCAGGGACTGGATAATCTTTAAACTCCCCTTCCAACCCAAACCACTCCACGACTGTGATAATTTCTGTCTGCATAGCTGAAAAGAAAGTAAAATAAATAAAAAGCGAAGAATTGTTGAGTCTGCTCTGCCCTGTGATGAGCAAATGAATCATGCACCAAACAGAAGATAGAGATTAGAAGCCATTTCCTTTATCCAACGTTTCCTAAACAGAGAGGGGCAGTTTTCAAGGCCTCTATTGAAATATGTGGTAAATGGATCCATTTTCCAGAGAGGTTATCCTGGATGTGGCAGTGTTAAGACAGGGATGAGTCCCATGTGCTGCACTAAGAGGGTTGAAGACATTTGTGCATTTTGAATGTGCAAATCCAGGCTTTTAAAACCAGCATTAGGAAGAGGAAGCAGTGACACCACAGCTGACAACACCAAAATGATTTCTGGGCTTTCAAAACTCAGTTGGGTCAGGCACTGACCAGCCTGACATCCAGGACTAATGGAAGCCAGAGCTGCCAAGATTTTTGGGTGGATGCAACACTTGACCTGCCCAAAAGCATCATGGAGCCATTAGACAATCCCCAGTGCTCCAATTCCCCCCAAGACAATATTTTTCCCTGCCCTCAGTTTGACTGAAAGTTGGATTAGTGCTTCTTTCCTTCTTGGTGGCTTTTGCCAGCTGGCATTGATGGCCTGACAAAGAGCAAGGTCACCAAGGGCAACAGGGGAGTCACATCTTCCAGCCCCAGCTGCTGATGCAGAAAGAGTAAAGGTGCCTCTCAGCCGTGGCCAACATACATGTCCACCATCAGGAAGCATCCTAAATTGACTCTAAGGTGATTAACAGAGCAGAATTAGCTCAATGAGCCAGGGGAATTAAGGGCAGAGAGCTGCCCTTGAGCCAATATCCCATCTACATCTGCCAGAGGAAAGCCTGCAGCCCCAGAAGTGGAGTGGAAGCAGAAATTAGAAGCATGAACAAATTCTCAGGTTAAAAAGCCCATGGGGTTCTGTGTGCCCTCGTGAACCCCACTGAAAGCTCTGTAAGCAGCACAGGAATGAGTGCTGGAGCTTGCACTGCAAAGCTGCCTTTCCCCAGCTCCCCTCTCTGAGACAGTCCCACGGGGAGCTGTTTTGGGACTTACTGCTCCTGCACAAATGGCTGGGGATTCCTTTTCTGTCACTGATAAGTAATGAGATTTGTACCACTGACGCAGCTTTTCCCGTGGTGCTGACGTCTTCTCCTGCAAGGGGAATCATTTCCAGTTTAAGGCAAAGGAAAGCTAAGGATTACCTTTTCCTTCCCAAACTTCCTCTGCTGTCTCTCTGCTCCATCACCTGGGGCAGTGCTGTCACATCTCCTGAGCCAAAGCACCGCTGAGAGCTCAGATTTATCAGAGAAGCACAGGATGGTTTGGGTTGGAAGGGACCTTAAAATTCTTCCAGTTCCAACCCCCTGCCATGGTCAGGGACACCTTCCACTAGACCAGGTTGCTTCAAACCCTGTCCAAGCTCTCCTCGAACGCTTCCAGGGATGGGGCAGCCACAGCTTCCCTGGGCAACCTGTGCCAGGGCCTGCCCACCCTCATAAGTACAAATTTTTTACTAATATCTAATGTAAATCTATTATCTAAATCTAATAGCTAATCTGCTCTATTCAACTTAAGGCCATTCTGAAACCCATTTCTCCCCTCATATCCAGCCCACACTAGTCCTGGTCTCGTTTTCTCTCTGCTCCTTTTTCCTTCTAATCCACCCCCAAACAAGGTAAAATTTTCACTTCTCTCTTCTTCGGGTTGTGCCCCACACACCTGTCATCTCTCCATTCAGTTTATCCCCTGCAAATGCAGGGAAAAGCAAGGAATTACCCCCCTGGGGGCCTGTCCTGGCAATTCTCTGAGTGTTATATAAACCAGCAACAAAATCCATCTGCCTCCACAGCCTGCTCGAGCCAACCCTCCAGCTCAGCCCGATAACCCTCGTACAAACAGGGGAATATTGACACGACAATCAGCAAAACCTGACCCCTTGGCTCCCAGCACCAGTGGCACCACAGGGATTGCTCCTATGGGGAATGTGTTGCCTTGGCAGAGCTGACCAGCCCTCAGTGCCACGTGCACACCGAGAGCGCAGCCAGATCTGACTTTTTCCTGGCAGGGCCACACTCCCTGAATGTCTGGAATTTCCCCATGGCCAACACAGCGCTGCCTGTTCTGAGTAATTCCCGTGGCTTTGATGGATTCATCCTGCGGGAAGCTTTGAAACATCTGACTTTTTTTGGAGGCCAGCTGCTTTATCTTCCCCCGCTTTTCTTGATTGCACCTGGAGCAAACAAACAAACACACACACACACAAAACCTTTCATTGGTTGGTTCCTGGAAACGCTCAGCCCTGAGAGCATGCAGGGACAGCCTGACCGCTGAGCAAAGCCTGATTTACAGCCCTGAGCAAACCTGGAGGAACTGCAGGCAGGGACAAACACAGGACCAGCACACATAGGGAATTGCAACCAATTCTCCAGGTCCCTTATTCTGCTTTCTCTCTTCTTGCCACGCCAAGTCTCCTAAATTCTTCCCTTAAGCACGTATTGACATCTAAATACTTAAGAGCACCTCGCTGTGCACAGCACTAACCTCCATCAGAGAGAGAAAATACCCATTTTCTCTCCTAAACTCACACTTCATAACAGGGGAAAAAAAAGGATTTAGGAGGGAGAGGGGAATGAAAACTAAATCCTCTCTGATAGTTTGCTCATTGTCCTTCAGCTCCAGTTACAGGAAGGTTTCTGACAGCAATCCCTGCTGACACTACACCTAAACCACAGCCAAACATTCCCAGCGTGTCACCTGGCCACTCTCACGGCTTTGCAACATCCCCCTGACCACCAAGACAGGTCACCATGAAGACCTCAGGTGTGGGGTCTTCCTGGAGGCAGAAGCCAGGAGGGGTCTGGAGATGCTCTATTCCCGCAGGGAGGGAGCATCAGGAGGGAGGACGGTCCCTGCCTGGGCTGCCTGTGCCCTCTCGTGGCTGCCTGACCACCCTGCACCACCAGATTCTCGCATGGCTTTTGAATTTCAAATTACATCCCTTTCTGGAGACTGCTCTCCCTCTCCAGATGTGGCAGCCCCTCCTTCTGGGCATTTGTTGGGCACTGAACTGCCCCCAGTGTAAGTTTTAAGGTCCTGTCCAACCCAGATCATTCTGGGATTCTGTGAAGAAATGTTCACCCACCTGTGGAAAAAAAAAAACCCTCAATTTGGCACCAAAACTCCATCACTTATTCCCCTTGTGAGGTCAGGGAGCAGCCAGCTACGGGAGGGACACACTGATGAGAAAAAGCATTAAGACCCAATCCTAGAGGTCACACAGGAGCCAGAGAAGCTCAGAGCTTCAGCCAAATTTCATTTTCTCTTGGCTACTGAGCACCCCAACCAACCCAACCCCTCAACCACCAACCAGACTTCTAGAGGTTAATAGCAAATGTTTATTTTCCATTATTAAAGAGCAGGGTGCAACCATCCCGCTGTTAACGGAGTGACTTCATCTTCCTTTACAAATTGCTCTCTCTGCTTCACTTCAAATGTAAGACAACTTCACACGTGGCATTTCTCCAGTTCCTTCCGTCTCAAAAGTGCTTTACAATTGTGACACCGAGGGGAAGAAAAAAAAAAAATCCCACAAACCATCTCCTACCTGGAGAGATCACCTCATTCCCAGCGCTGACACGTGTGCAATGCAGCAGCCAATGGCACAGGAAGACATGGAGAGGTCAAAAGGTCAGGGGGAACAGATAGGAGGAGAAATTCCAGGGATGGAATTTACCTGAGCTGTAATCTGCAGCTGGGGAAACCAAAGCTTTTGCCTTCCCTGTCCATTTCCCCCTCCTCTGGGCAAAACCACAGCAGCTCAGTTTGTGTCTTTAGTGGAAGAAAACTGAGCTCTTACTGCAGCATCCCCCAGGAGAGGATGAAAGTTCTGGAGCTGAGGGTGGTGACCTGGTGCTGGGCAGGGTGATGCGTCAGCCAGAGATGGAAACCCCAGGGTGGGTGGTGGCTGTTCCACAGACTCCAAAAAAAAAGGCTAAATTGGCTACAAATCACTGTCACAGCCTTAACAAACCCGGGTCTGTGGCAGACCTGTGCGTCCCAACAGCTTTAGTGACATCTCTCCCTCCTGGCACATTTTGGGGGATACAGGAACTGCAGCCACGCCCCTCACGAGCACACAAAGATGTCTCAGTTCTCTCACTCGGGATGGCAGCCCAGGACAAGCTGGGATTCCCACTGGAATGGGCAGCTCTAGGTCTAATGTAACACCAGGGAGGGAACCTCTGGGCTTCAGGGCTGCCCAGCCTGGGCACGCTCCTTCTGGGGTGTGAACAACCCCAGCTGGGTAAATGGATTCTGCCTGAACAATGCAAACAGGACTGCCCAAAGCTCCCTCGGGAGCAGGAACAGCTCCAGGGCATGTTTGTAAGGTGAGGTTTGTGTTTAAGAGCACCGTGGGGGACTCCCACCCCAAGGAGTGTCACAGGGTCCATGGCAAGGTCTGCCGGTGACAACTGCAGCAGATTTCCCAGTCCAGGAGGAAACATCCTGCACCGGCTGCAGCCAGCTGGGAATTATGGAATTTTCCTGCTCTCTTTCTTCTGCTGGAGGCCCCAGGTGCACAGCTCCAGCCATTCCCCCAGCCTGGATAACCCAGAGTCAAACAGCAAGCTGAAAAGAGGAACAAATCCTTCTTTGTGACTCCGCTGGCAGAAAGCTTCTCTTGCAGGCTCCTTTAAAAGGAACAAGGAAGTACTTGGAAACAAAGTGTTCATGGCTCTCCCTAAGGTTATTGTGCTGTGCTGGCATTTTCTGGGCTGTTATGGCAGTATGGTCAGCAGGACCTCCGAGTACCCCCAAAAAATGAGCGGGGCACAGGGACAGACAGCCAGCATCTGTCCTCACAGACCGGCTTACAGGGAAGGTCCAGAATTCCTGCCCTCCTCAGAAAATGCCAAAGAAGACTGCATATAAAAACAAAAGTTTAAAAAAAAATGGATATACACTGCATATAGGAGACTCCGGAGTCTACAGATGGCCACCCCAGAGCAGCCAGGGCCAGCCCAGCTCCGAGGGGACAGCGTGGAAGCTGCATTCCAGTCACAGTTGGAGGAGCTGGACAGCTGAAGGTGGAAGTTGTGCTTCTTGCTCAGCTTCAGGCAGAGAGAGGGTGGGGAGGGAGAAAGGCCCATCGCAGGGCAGGCACTGCACTCACAAAGCCCTTCGTACTGGAGCAGTTCCCTTCCACGCTCAGGCCTCTGCTCACATCTCACTGGGATAAAATCCAAGCTTGGCCAGGGACATCTCCCTGCGGAGCCGCATCACCTCCCAGTACATCAGCTCCACTGCAGAGCAAAAGGGAAGGGAAAAAACAACCAAAAATCAGTAAGCGAGGCACAGCTGGACACCACCTCCCAGTGCAGCCCGGCCAGCCTCCTTCCCAAAGCCAGGGAAGCGGGAGATGCCCATCAGGTCACCCTTTATCAGCACCACCCCAGGGCAAAGCTCCCAGGAATTGGTGCTTCTCTTCCTTCCCTCATGCTTTTCCTTTGTCATTGAACTGCTTCTCAAAGACCCAGGGAGTTGAGGGGACTGAGCTGGCCCCATTCCTGTCTCAATTCCTCCCCAGAAAGCATCCCACTGCAACCAGCTCTTACCATCCTGCCTCACCAAGCCCTGCTGGATATAGCGGATGTATGTGAAGAAGTTGCAGACTGCTGTGATCTGAGGGAGAGAGGAAAAGAGAAAAATTGGGAATCAGCTCCAGAACTGCTCTGCCAAAAGGCCTGCACTGCACTCACAGCAGCAGAGCTCAGGGTTTGGCACCCAAAAAATAGTCCCACGTATCACCAGGTAGGACGAAAGCTGGTTAAAAATGAAATTTAAAAACCCCATCTGGGTATCTGCCATCCCATCCCCAGACATTACACTATCCATGAGACACAACATGGAACAACTCCAATCTACTGCAGATTTGAGACATTGCTTTGGGGCAAGCGACAAAAACGAGTCAAGTTTGTGCAAAACAAAAACAACCTTTTGTGTCCAAAATGGTCACATGTTTCGGGATCAGCTCCTGTGATATGCAGTTCAGGAAAGAATAAACTTCTAAAATGCTCCATTGAATCAAAGCCCCAACAGCAACATTAATAAATTATCCACCTTTTGCCTTCCCTCCACAGAAAGAACAACTTGTTCTCACAACCACCCTGGATCTGACTGGAACAGTAAGAGCATTTAAAGAGCAGAAAATTACTGTGTTTTACAAAGGGGAATTAAATAACAATAAAGCCAAAAAAGCAAAGCCCTGCACAGAATGAAACCATGCAAAGTGAACACACTGAAGGTTGTCTGAAAGCATAAGCAGGGCTGGATCTGCACCCTGATTATTAATCAAGAGCCACCCCGACCTCAACTCAAATCCCACAGGTCTTCCCTTAGTTGAAGACCGACCCTGCAGAGCTCCTACATCTCAGGGCATGGGACAATTTTGGAGGATCAGGGCACTCTGGGAAGGTGGAGGACTCACCCTGGCCCTGCAGGAAGGTGAAATGTAGTAGTAATTCCCAGAATCCCCCAGCATGATCCGGTGCCTGCAGGTCCTGGGGAGGCCACTTAGAGCACATTTCCTGCAGGGAAAGGAAAAAACACTTCAACAGTCCAGTGGCACAGCGGAGACCAGGAATTTAGGAATCTCAAGAGATGGAAGGAGGAGCTCAGAAGCCAGACTTGGGTCAGTCAACATGAAGAAAAAAAACCCACCCATGGCTGATAGAGCCTTTTGCTCCTAAAAGATTCCACAAATGGCAGGTTAGGAGAGTTAAATATCTGGAATCATGAATAATTCCACACCCAAATACACCCAAGTTGTACCCTTTCCCTGGCACAGAGCCCAAGAGAAAACTACAGAAGACAGAGTGTAACGTCATCTGCACATCTCCTCCACATCCCAGGGAAGACTCAGGTGTATCAGCTTTCCTGCTGGGACGCAAACATGCTGGCTGGACACCAAACCTGGCCTCAAAACAGGTAAATCCAGCCTTAGAGCAGAATTTGCTCATGCTGAAAACTCAAAACAAGCCACACTGCTCTGGATGAGGCTTGCAATTCCTAAGGACAAGCCCATCCCTCCTCGGGCAGGCAGAGAAGAAGCTTGGCTTCACGATTTTAGGATTTCACTCAGAGTGAAGAGTCTTTTCAAAACAGTCAACAGCCTCTCTTCTCCTGCCATTTTTTTCTGTTATTTCTTCTATTATGGTTCCCATCACCAGCTGGTTGCCTTTCCTTCATCACCACTTCAAGCAGTAAAGCAGAATTTTCTGTGGAATAGTTATCTCCACATTCCTCAGAGGTTCAGTTCCTGCATGTGGAAAGAGGGACATCAGTCCCCAGCTGCAAGAAACTGCTCTGGGAGCCATGGAAGGTGCCAGCACGTGGGAGCAGATGTTTCAGGGAGGTTCTGAGCATGTCTCTGAGCTTATTTTCCACTGCTGTCAAGGCAAATATTAGCCAAGAGTGGAAGCACGGGCTGTAAGAGTCCACATGCAAGGAGAAGTAATCACTGACCAAATATTAACACAACTTAAGGAGATTAAGTTCTCAGAAAGTGTAGGATGACCAATAACAAGGAATTTTTAAGTCACAAAATTGAACACTGGAGCATATAGAAAAAAAGAGACTCCTGGTGACTTGGTGCAACCACAGCTGTCACAACCATAGTTAGAGGGAACCAAAAATGCCACAAAAAATCAGTGTTTTACACCTGGGAAATGAAAATAAACAAATTCCTTTGGGATTTTTTTTTTTTATTCCCAGTAGTAAAATTCTACACCATCCTGCCTGGAAATTAAACAGGGTTAAAGAGTTAGCTCAGTTCAGCTCGAGCCTCCAAGCTGCTCCATTGCACTGAGTTAGTCACTTGTTAATGTGTTAGAGATCTTTGATCACCGGCTAAACAATAAATGCTTCACTTACGTTACAATTTGTGGCCGGAACCCACTGCGAAGACAAAAAAAAAAACAAACCAAAAGGAAACTGATAAGGATGAAGACAGGATGGGTTGTTCTTGGAGCAATTTGCCTAGAGATGGCAGAAAACGCAGCAGAGTGGTAGGAAAACCTGTCCCTCACAGGGACACTTTAGGGGGTGCTCTGTTTGAAGGGAAGGGAAGGAAGGACAGAGAGAGGGAGCCCAGATGGAACTTGAGTTCATCAGCTGAATAAAATCCCCTCCTTCATCTGGAATATCATGTCATTTCTGCTAGTGCTCCTCTTCCTTGAGGTGACCCCAAGCTGTCTGTCACAGCAGGTACAGTCACACAAGCTCTGAAGCAGCCACAGCCCCAATTCTGGTGGCAAGGTGACAGCGCCAGGTGGGGAAGATGATGTGCAGCAAAAAGGAGATCTCTTCTGACCTAGGCTCAAACCCACCAGCAAGGCCAGGATGAAAGGCGAGCTCAAACCTCACAAGATGCAGGAATGCAGCTCTGATTTAACCCTGGTTATGCACAAACACCTTCAGAGAACAAAAACAAGCTGCTGCCTCAAGGCAAGGGAAAAAACCCACCCTCCGGCCAAGGGCACTGCCACCTCACAGGTTATCCCGAAAAACAGCCAGCAGCTCATCTGCTGAGCTCAGCTAATTCCTCTCCTCAGGCAGAGCTGAGCTGAATTCCAGCTGCTCACGAGCCTGGAGAAGGCTCAGCCGAGCCCTTTGAACCGTTCAGCTCAGCGACCGAGCGAGGCTCGGCCGAACTCCACGGCAAAAAGACACATAAACACGGTCCTTACTTGGGCCCACCACACTCTTCTGCTGCCACCTTCACCACAGGGAGCGTCTGGGAAGCCACTGGCTCGATGGTGAGGGTGTTCTGCTCCACAGCCGCTCGCACCAGCTCCGACAGCTGCGGCAAACAGAAGGGAGAGCGGGTACCAACGTGCCGGGGTCACCTCCACGAAGGTGACCCTCTGGAGCTGCTCCTCCAGCGCTCACCTCCTGCTTAGTGAAGTCCAGACAAGGTCCCACGTCTTCTCGATAAATCCTATCCAGGAAGGAGCAGGACTTATCCAAAGTTGGAGATTCCTTCCAGGCCTGGAACTCGGCAAATAAGGTGGAGTCGACCTGCAGCAAATGTCCAAGAGGGAAGGGAGGCAGGGGGTGGTCAGAAGGGAAGATTCCATATCAGGAGGCATCTGCTACTGTGCAGGTAACCCAACTGCAGAACATCTCCTCTGGCATCTAGAGAGGCTCAGACACCACGGAAGTGTCTGAGAGAAGCTGCCCTGGCTCTCATCTCCCACCCACCAGTAGCTCTGTAACAGTTCTGTGCCCCAGCCATACTGGGCTTATTATGGCAGAAACCTGCGGGTACCTCTCTATCCCATCCTCCTCCAGCACCTGTGACGCCAGAAAAGCCACCACACAACCACTGAACAGACCGAGTTCCCACTCAACCCGTGTCAGGAATGATGAGAAGCGGAGTGGCAAAGCACAGTGGCAATGGGAGACTCTGGGACCTGGCATTTAAATCCCAGATGGATCATTATCCAAACCACCAACTTGACTGACGGGGCACCTCCTACATGCCCAGCAAATTCTGTTAAAGCTGCTGAAAGAAAAAAAAATAAAACCAAAGAAACTCTGCTGAGCAACACAAAGAATATGAGTGAACAGAGCCGAGAAAGTCTCGATTCCAGCACGCTCCCTCTGTGCCGTGGAGACTGCTCACCTGGGACCAGGAACAGCTTCAGAGCCACAGGATGGAAAAACAAACGGAGAAAAACAAAACAAAAGGAAAAAAAAAAAAATGGAGGTTGGCATAAGAGGGAGCTGGAACTGAAAGGCTGGAAGTGTGAGAGGCAGGTGGGTCCCACCCATCCCCAGAAAGGTTGGTTACCTGCCGTGAGGAGGAGGAGGAGGAGGAAGCATCTGCTCCCAAGGCCTGCCAGCCTGGCTCATAGGTGATGTGGATGGCCTTCCCAGGGAGGATGCAAAGGAGCAAGGAGAGGAGAGCAGGGAAGCCAGACTTGGAGGGCAGAGGGAGAGACAGACAGTGAAGGAAAAGGTTTAGAGTGAGACACGCAAGAAGGGAGGTAAAAAACGTGAGGTAAAACAGGAGGTAGGAAGAAAGGTTCGAGTCCTGCCCTCCAGGAACTGAGCATGCTGCTCAAAGCATCACAGGGCCACAAGTCACACCTTTAGATTTCAGCTTAGGGTGCAAAGAGGGAACAGGTATTGCCATTTTTAGGCTCAGTTTGGGATGGGACACATCTTTTTCATAGAGCATCAACCCTCGGAATGCCAGATCCCCTTTTATCACCTCTCACATGGGCCATTAGGGAATCTGAGAGACAAAGAAGCCACCTCATCCTTGATACAGAACATTATTAGTCACTTCAGAAGCTGAGCCCTGAGATTTTAGACTCCAGGATATCTGCACTCTGTGGAATTTGCCTCCATGATGAAATGACTGGTTCAGATATTAAAGAAACAAGTCCTTTGTGTTTCCTCAACAATTCTTCATTTCAGAGGCAGCAGCTCTCCCAAAAAAATCACTAGTGAGACATATTCCCCCACCACATCCTCACTCATATTCATTCTTCCTGACCAAGTACCATAAGCTGCCCCCTTTTTGCTCCCCAGGACAGCTGTGTACACATCTGGCTAGTGGGAAATTCCCAGATCCTGGCAGCAGGAAGTGTTACACTCGTGGTCACAGCAGGTGGGGGGGGGGTCGCTATCAAAGTATCACCTTAATTAAACGGGGCTTGATTGGAATGCTTTGGATGACTCTCTGCCCAGCTCCTCCCAGTAAGGAATTAAATATAATTAAATATCTACTCTGCAAAGAGGGGGAACAGTGCCATGCCCAAGAACACAGGGCAAGTGAAAGGCTACCCATTGATGGAGGTGTCCTGGTGGTGCCCAAGCCAAACTGGGGAGGAGGAAGAACCACCATCATATCACGCCAGAACAGGCTATGGACTCACCTGCCAAGGAGCAGAAACCACTGGTTCTGCTCAGCAGCTCACAGCAGTGGTACCTCCTGGACCTGCCCCTGTCCCCCAGAGACCCCTCGACTGCTGCTGTCCTGACACAGCCTCCAACACGTCTCCCAGAGAGGAAACACCCACAGAAGGAAACCCACCAGAGCCTGCCTCAGCAAAAAATTTACGGAACAAGGCGTGCTACTGCACAAACAGCTTCTCCCAGCGCTGACACCAGGGATTTCTCCAGGAAGCCCCCGGGCACAGCGCCAGCAGTGGCTCCCAGGCTGGGTCAGCAAGTGGCCCTCACCCACCTCTCTGCACTCCCGGCTGACCGGCTCTGGAGCCACGTTCTGGCTGGCAGCTGACACCATGGCACTGCTGGTGCTCTTGTTTCGCCCGTGGCCCTTCCTGAAGCCGGCCTTGGAAGGGCTCTGGAGTTGAGGGTGCAGCTCCCGGTTGGGGGAGGAAGGCGTGGATGTGATCACCAGCGTCTTCAGGGCCGTCACCTCTGCCTGCAGCATGTCAATCTGGGGAGACCAGGGAGAGCCAACACCTGCTGAACTCAGCTTTGCTGCATCCCAGCACACACTGGAGCCACAGGGAACCAGCTACAAGCCCGGCCATGAAGCCTCTCCCCATCCCTCCCAGTGCCCAGCACCACCCAGAATTTTAAACCAACAGCAGCTATCTGGGATCCCATCCCTCTGCCCCTTCGGTCAGCACATTTTGCCCCAGGCTCTTTTCAGACCCAATAACCCCAAAGAAATTTCTCTCTTTGAGCTGAGCAACCTTGTGATTCAGCCCTGCCAGGAAATGCCAGTGCCTCAGGTCCCTGCTCTATCCATTCCCACAGCTGTGACAATTAAACAGCTTATCAGTTCCCTCTGGTTTCCCTGGCATCCATTTCCCAAAGAGGAGCTGGATCAGGAACAGACTGCAGTGATCCCTCTTTCCCCTCACTCTGGTCCCTTTCCAGTGTCTGCTGGGAAGGGAGAAAAGCAAATGCAAGCATTTACTCTCTTCCAGCCAACAAGCAGCAACTGTGGCCAGTACGGGCAGCGATGCCACCAGGCTACCCCAAAAATCAAGTCCCAGAGAGCAGTTCTCACCTTGCCCCGGGCTTCCCTCAGCTGTTTCTCTGCTGCAGCCTGTTTAGTGTTGGCTTCTCTCACCATCTTGTGGGCTTCCTGCACCAGAGAGGATTTTAGTCTGCTTGTTCCACAAAGCCACCAAGGCAGGTCACACCTATGCCATATCACAGGCAAGCAAGCAAGAGGACAGACAGGCATCCCTGCCACATCCAAGGGGGTTTTTCTGTCAGCTGTGAAGTGTCTTCCCCCAGAATTTCCTGGAGAAGGCCCCCAGTCCCAGAGCCTGGAGTGCATCCCCTGCTAAGGAGTGTGATTAGTTAAACTAAAGCATTCAGCTGACTAGTCCAAGGTCATCTCTCTCACTGATAGGGGCTGCTTGAAGAATGCCAGAAGCAAGGGCCTGCCCTTCCTTGCCCTTGGGAGTTGCTTAAAGCTGAGGTTTTAACATGAACACCCAGCTGTGCTGCTGTGGGTGCCCCTATCCCAAATCTGTGACTCCAGCCCCCCCTCAGCTTGGCTTCCTGGCTCGACCCCTATCCCTTCAGCCCTGCTGGCTGATCACTAAACCAATTTCTGCCCCTGCCCTGCTGCCTGTGGCACTGATCCTGAGCCAGATTGGCTTCTCCACGTCTTGGTGAGGTCACTGCTCCTGCCTGGCGTGTTCCTGTACTTTGCTCCCACTTCACTCGTGGAGCAGCCAGTCCTCACTGCTCCAGGCACGGCTGGGACACAGCAGGAGCTGGAGCTCAGGTGGGGGCCAAATGGTAGGAACTGGCTTAAAAGGCTCTCCCACAGAGATTGGGAAGTGGGATGAATCCCATCTGGGGCCTCCCTGCAGCGCTGTCTGGAAGCAGAGTCTGGCCAAGGCCACCAAAGGAAGGGAACAGCCTTGGCTTTATTATTTCCAAGATCACCCTGAGCCCAGGCAGCCAAAATTTCAGGAGGGGGTTGCTCTCTTGGCTCTTGTATCCCTGTGTTTCAAAGGTACAGATGGGCTCTGGCTTTCCTCACTATCCAGACAGATCCAGACATTAGAGCTGCTGGTAAATGGGATTTTGCCAGGATAGAGTTTGGCAAGAATCACATTACAAAAAAAAACCCACAAACAACAAAACCCACCACAAGTGACAGACCTTCTGGACACTCACTGGAGCAGTGTGTGAGGGCATCCAGCACGTTCCCAGCCCCAGCAAGGGCTGAGACGAGCCAGGGAACCATCTCTATTCCAGAGCAGGTACAGAGAGGGACATGGAGAGGGACAGGGAGCCTGTTCTGAGGCTCTGCCTGCAGCACTGCCCAGCTCTGCTTCTCCAAGTGGGAAAGAACAGGGGAAAGGAAGAAACTGTGGGAGGAGATGGCTGGAAGTTCAGGGAAAGCCTGTCTTAAAGGGGCTGGATGCAAGCTCAGGGTAAGAAAAGGAAGAGGGTGGTACCTCAAATAGGCTGGCTGTTAACTCCTCCAGCTCCTGCTCCAGTTGTTCCCTGACTTTTGACAACCTCTCACATTCTTTGTCCTTTAGCTTCAGCTCCTGTTGAGGAAATGCAGGAGGACACATCAGCCCACAGCCAGTCCCAGGAATGCTGATGCCCTGCCCTGTCAATCACAACCCTTCCTCCCCACCATGGCACAGATCCTTGATCCCAGATTCCTGTCCTAAACTCTGGGCCACACTCCCTGTCACCAAAGGCATCCCCCCTCCACAAGCTGTAGCAGGATTTTCAGGCTAGAGTAGCTCATTTGTCATTAGCAAGGAGGCTCCCAGTTAAGCACTGCCTCGAGCTGCTTCCTGCAGTAGGTTTCCAGGATTAATTTGGATATTGGCACATCCAGCAAGCACTGTCCTGCTCCAAAGCGCTTCATGGCCACCTCAGCTCAGTCTCTCTCCTCTTCTGCCTGCTCCAGGCTCCTAAAACACCCCTGGGAAAACCCCCCCTGCCCCAATCCGTGCTGCCATCCCCATGTGTTCTCCCCTTTACCTTCTGTGCTTTGTGCAGCTCATCCCTCAGGAACTCGGAGCCCTTCTCACGGATCTCCACCGAGGAGCTGCGCAGGCGCGACACATCGAGCTGCTCGGGGCACGGGGTCTCGCCCACGCCTCCAGCATCCTGGCACCCCGGCTCCAGCTCCTCCTTGCTGCCTTTGGATGGCATCAGTGGCTTCCAGTGCCCCACAGCAGGTTGCTTCTGGCTCTCTTCCTCAAAACCGACCTGGCTGTGGGGTGACAGCACAGAGAAACTTCTCAACCAGCATGTCCCAGAGAGGATGAAGCAGGAGAACTAAAGACAGCTGCCCCAGGGATCCTGTTCTCACCTGGATTCCAAGAGAAACACTCTGCAGCTGCCTTGTTTAGGACTCTGGTACTCACCCAGCAGACCTAAGTTCAGACACTGCTTCCCCAGATGAAGGAAAGTAGGAAAAAAAAAAGGAACACAGCTCTCCCGTTCCCATGTACAGACCCTAATCCCCTCTGCTGCCAACCCAGCCTTCCCCTGCCCCTGCTTCAGAGAATAAGGATCTATTTTTAACCTACTTCCCACCAAAATCCTCCACAGAGCCGCCTAAACCGGCGTATTTCCAGCAGTCTGAACCCCCGTGTTTTAGTTTCAGTGGCTGGCGAGTGGAGATGTGCTAGAAAGAAAAAAACAGGAGAGCCACCCAGGACACTGTTCCCCAGCAACTCCCAAATGAACACAGGTGCTGGAGAGGCTGATGGATTTAGCTGGCTCTGCTGGGGTTTTAGGAAAGGAAAGCCTCATCAATACCTGCGTGACAGGGCACTGCAGTCACCCTGAGGTGAGCATCTCCCTTTCTCTGCACATCAAAGTGCCCCCACGTGCTTTGCTCGCCGTGTGAAGGCAGCGGGAGCGCGTCCAAGCCTTGCACATGGGGGAGTTTTCTATCGTGCCCAGCCACCCAGCAGGACACACACACTGCCCTGCAGATTAACCTGCTGCTGGTTATCTCTGGGTCACAAGCCTTGGCCGAGCTCTGGTGCCCAAGCCCTCCTCCCACACTCCTACTGCTCCTTGCCCGCTGCCTTCTCCTTCAGAGTACCCACCACCTCCTCTGGTTTGGTTCACTTTCTCTTATTCCCTTTTCCTCATCTGCTTTCCTCTCCTGAACGTGCCCTTCCTCCTGCATTCCAGCCAGCACACACTCTTCCCCCTGATCCTACTCCAGCCCAATACTCCTCAACAGAGCACAGGCTGGGCTTATCTCCTCAAAAATAGCCTTGTTCTCCCTCTGACACAGAAAGCAGTCAAACCATGAGGCCAAACTATCCTTTCCACCCAACCTCAGTGTCCCACCACCTTTTCTACTCAGATTTCTCCCTATTTGTCCCCCACTCCAAAACTGCCTATGAGCAACAGCTGTCCACAGTCATTTTCCAAAGAGGGAAACAGCAGAATGGACCCAGGCAGTCCCAGAACCTCCAGCTTCTCTGAGCAGAGCACAAAAATCAGAGCACAGAGGAAAATCAAAATTCAGAAGCAAGCAGCTACTAAAAAAATAATAAAGAGGCAGCAGAGAAAAGGGCATTTCAACAGTCCACTGAACTACTCAGGCAGTCAATCTAACCCACAGGAAGAAAAAAAACAATGTTGTTTCTTTATGACCCTCAAACTCTCACATGAAAGTTTCCTTGGGAAATAGATATTGCAGTACATTTCCACACACTACAGAAGAAAACTGGAGGATATGGAGGAATGAAACGGTCCCACCCACACCCTGTAATGCCAAAAAAACATATCCTGAAAAATCATCTGTGATGGAAAAGCTCATTCTCCGCACTGGGCAAACAGAATCCTCACAGAAGCCTTGGCTGGATCTCCACTGTCCAGGCGCAGCTCTGAAATCCAGTCCCCAGAGACCAAAGGACCACCACATACACTCACTCTCTTGCTGACTGGCAGGCGTCTTTCTTGGAAAAATGGATCATATCATGTAAGTCCCACACCAAGACACAAGAAGTGCAAACTTACACGGGAAAAAAAAAAAACAAACCAACACCCCACAACCTTCTAAAATTGGTTTCTGTAGAAAAAGCAAAAAAAAAAAAAAATGTGCACGATCTGCACTTTTTCCAGCGGGCCCCACATGTTTCCTGCACTGCTGATCCGACACAGTTATTTCCCGTACGAGCGAGCCTCTGGCTCCCTCCAGGTTAAATTCCTACCCGCGGGTTTGGGAGGAGGACCCGACTTTTCCATCCCACCGGGACAGACGCCTGACTGGCACCATGTTCACCATCACGGGCTGGCATCTGTCCAGAGCCCGAGGATGCTCAGTATCATCCCTCAAAAGCTCTGGCAAAGCATCTGGTCATGTTTCATTATATTATTATATTACAGCAGAACACACAACCGGCGTTTCTTATCTTTGCCTCAGCAACGACCCTGCTGTGTCTTATGCCTGGGGGTGCTGGTGCCCCACGGCGTCTCCTCATCCCATCTCCTTAGTTGGCTTCCACACAGCTCTTTCCACAGGCTGCCCAGAGAAGCTGTGGCTGCCCCATCCCTGGCAGTGTCCAAAGCCAGCTTGGACGGGGCTTGGAGCAACCCGGGCTAGCGGAAGGTGCCCCTGCCCACGGCAAGGGCTTGGACTAGGTCAATCCTTAATATCCTTTCCAACCCAAACCATCTGGGGAATCCGTGAATCCTACCAAACGCTCGCAGCGCCGGGAGCGCTGGCGGAGCCCGGGGGGGCTCCGGGCTGCAGGGACACACGAGGTGTGAGCACCGAAACAACCAAATCCCGTGGAAGCCCGGGGGGAAGGGGGGGGCCACAGACAGCCCCCGAAGTCCCAATTTCTCCCCCCTGCACCTACCCCCGCAACATCGCTGAGTCCCCGATGCCGACGCTGCTCACGGCGGAGGAGCGCCCGCCGCGTACCCCATGCCCGGAGGAGCCGGAGCTGTGCCGGGAGGAGCGGGAGTCAAAGCCGGAGCTGTGCCGGGAGGAGCGGGAGTCAGAGCCGGAGCTGTGCCGGGAGGAGCGGGAGTCAGAGCCGGAGCCCTTCCCGGGGGAGCCGCAGCCGGATGAAGAGCCGGAGCGGTTCCCGGAGCAAGGGGAGCGGTTCCCGGAGCGGCTCCCGGAGGAAGCGGAGCTGGAAGCGGAGCGGATCCCGGAGCGGCTCCCGGAGGAAGCGGAGCTGGAAGCGGAGCTGGAAGCGCAGCGGATCCCGGCGGAGCCGCAGCCCCAGCACCGCCCCCGTGATGCCGGCGCGGCTGCGCTCTGAGCCCGCCGGGGCCCCGGAGGGGACGCTCGGCACACACCGGGCTGGAATTGCGGGAATCAGCGCAGCGTGTTACCGATCGCATCGGTGCGGGGCAGCGGGAAGCGAAAAAGAAATCTCAAAGCAGCCGTCCTCTTTGCTCCTCTCCTCTTTCCCGGCTGAGATGCGCGCCTGGTTTCCTCTGCCTCCTTCCACGCAGAGGCTGCTCCTTCTTCCTCTGAAGGATTCCTCACACCCTTCCCCTGCTCCAGCGTCGGGTCCCTCCCAGGGGAGACAGTCCTCCATGGACTTCAACCTGAGTTATTCACGAAGTGCTCCCGCGTGTGTCACTTCCCCGGGGTGCAGTCCCTTAGGACCGGGCTGATCCGGAGTGGGATCCGTCCACGGGGACCACCTCTGGCTGCAATTGCTCCCGAGCAATAGCTTCTTCCCCCTCTTCTAAATATATTACACCAGAGGTGCTCCAGCTGTCGCTGATGGGCTCAAGCTTGGCCAGTGGCACGTCTTGGAGCCAGCTGGGAACGGCTCCATTGGACGTAGGAAAGCTTCCAGCAGCTTCTCACAGAGGCCACCCCTGTAGACCCCCCACTACCAAAAATGTGCCCCAAAACCCCAACACACTGAGGAAATCTGGGATGTAAAGAAGGGATATGCAGGAAGGCGAAAGGATGGGGGAAACCCAGACAAGAAAGATTGTCAAGGGTTTTTAAACTTGACAAGGAGAGCACAGGGCTGGGAACAAAACAGGAAAACCACTCCTGCTGTTACTCCAGACCCAACAGCAAATCCCATGCTCACCTCTGAATTGACAGCACTGAAATTTTGGTGGGTGACTCCACTGAACCAAAAAACGCCCCTGCCCTCGCAAGCCACCCTAAGAGGATGTTTTCCAGATCGATCCTTCCTAACATTTCCCATCACATCCTACCTTGCCATTGCCCAGGGCTTCCCTCCAGGCAGCTGTATCCCCTCAGAGCCTTCACACGCTCCCGCCTCGCTCTCCGCTTGCCCATCCTCTGCCTCGCTGCCAGACCCCAGGCCAAAGGCTGGCGAGTCAGACGTGGTGCTCCACGAATCCATCGCAGAACGCCGCTGTGGATGTCACCCAGGGAGCACTTCCCTGTCCCAGCATCTCCCGGGTGTCCCTGTCATTGGCAGCCCTGCCCTGCCTCATGGCCAGGATCCACGGTGACAGCACAGGCCAGCCTCATGCTCTGGAGTCTGGGAACGGAGCGTTCGGTACATTTGTGTCTGTTTGTGTCGCTGGCTGTAACCTTTGTTATCTTCAGGGAGCTTCTGGGAGGAGGGGAAAGATCTTCAGCTTTCCAAGGCAGCACCGCAAGTAATTAGTCTTTGTAATTATTAACTCCCAAGGCTTGGCTGGCAGGGCCAGAGGGTCCTCAGATTAGAAGGGTAGAACTGATTCTAGGAGTCGACAAGGGCAGGAAGGATGAGAACTGATAGTGCAGGCAGGAAGCGTTAAGAGGGAGATGCTGAATCCCAGCCACTTGCAAGTTAACTTTGCACAGGGGCAGAGTGGCATGTGCTCCCCTCTTCTTCCCAGAAGGAAAGGGGAAAACCAGATGCAGGCTGGGAAGAGGAGGAGGAACAGGGATTATTTTAGAGCTTGGAAAGCAGGACTACACCCCAGACCCCAGCAAATCCAAACCGGATGTTATTGCCATGAAAAGGAGAATGAAAACAAATGGCCTCAAACTCCAGGCTCCCTCCTGCCCCTCCTTGCTGGCTTGGACACTGTGCTGATGTTTGCTCAGCTGGCTGCAAGGCATTCAGCAAGGGCTTTCCGGGATTTCTGGCTCTAAGATCCCTGATTTCCAGGACCAGAAAGTTTGGTCCTCCCTTCGGAGCCCAATCCCCACCATAGAACCTAAGGCAAGAGAAGGGCGATCTTGCTAAGGACCTTTCCATCCTTTTCATGCTGTGCAAACTGAACTGTGCAACAACAGAGAGGGAGATCTGTCACCCTCCAAGTCCCTAAAAATAAAATGCAGAGGGTCAGATGGAGATTAGCACTTGGGTGTGAGGGAGACGCAGAGCTTGGCACCCACAGCTCTCAGGGCCACCCAGGATGGCACAGAATTAGTGAGGAATTCTGAAGCATAAGGGGAAGAAGCCTGGGGGGGTCCTCACGAAAGCACTGAGGGTCACTGCATCCTCCTCAAACATTCCTGACCAGCTCAAACCTGTGGGTAAATCCTGTCCTTGCAAAACAGCACCTCCTCAGATACTTCCCACTTAATCTGGATTTTTTTAAAATTACATCAGATTCCAGGGAAGAATGCCATTTTGAGACACCCTGATGCCAGCTGCCTCTGTGTCTATCTCACCACTGAAACTGGAGAAGGCGAAGGGATTTCACCAAGCTTTGGGACCCACTGTCCCAAAAAACACTTATTATTCTCTGGGAGACAGCAGGGAGGGCACTGTGCCATTCCCAGACAGCTGCTGCTAACTCAGCATGGAGAGTGGCCCTCTGGCATTCCCAAAACAGGGATTCAATTCCCACCGCAGTAATTCAATTTCTGCACCTGCAGCACTGAGAAAATGAGGATGATCCCAGGGCTGTGAGGCTGAGGAGGGATATCAGACCTCTGTGCAAGGAATCTTCTTCAAGACCTGCGGGGCCTGAGGCCACAGGGGATGTGAAAAGAGACCCACGCAGGGCTGCCATGCTGATAGCCCCTCAGTTATTTACTTTAATATTAAATTCCACACATATTTCATGCTGGCCAAGCAGCAGCTGTGAAGCACACGAGCTGCCAGCTGAGCTGCTCTCAGAGGAGGGCAGCAGAGTCCCCCAGATGCCAGCACATCCTTCCACAAACAGCAGGACACTCCGGGGTTGTTCGTTTCATGCCCCAGGAGCACCCAAACCGCTCCCAACAACACCCTCCCCTTGTCTAAGATCAGCCACAGGAAGGATAAAACTGCATTTGGGACAAATTGATCCCAAGTGCTGATGTTAAACGAGTGTCAAAGACACGGGCATGCAACCAGCACAAGAGCAAGTCAGTTTTTACAGGAGTCTTGGTCTCCAGCTACTCTTACCTGCATGGATCAGACCTGTGCTCCCTCTCCACAGAATCCCACAGCTGGGTAAATGATGGAAGACGAACTAGAAAGAAAGCATTTTCATTCAGAGCCCCTTGAAAGGGGAACATCTTAAAGACTTAACAAGGGGGATTGTGGAGGTGGTGGATGAGAAGGATGGGAGGGATGGCTTGGGAGCAGAAAAGGGACCTGGAGAGACAAAGGGAAGGAGTTCTCTGGCTTGGTGGAGATTTCAGGACAAAGGCAAGGACCGGTGTTTCCCAGGATGTCAGGCAGGAAAGAGCAGCGAGTCCCAAAGCCCTGCAGGAAGAAGCCAGAGGAAGAGAAAGGGAAACCATGGAAAGAGTCTCGTGGAGCCAGTGGCAGAGTGGAAGTCCCCAGCACCCAAACCACGGCTGGAAGAGGTGGCAAACTCATCCAAGGACAGTGAGGAATGACAAGGAAACATCCTGTGAGAGCCAGGCAGAGGGTGGACCAGGTGTTTCACCCACCTAAGGAGCTTCCCCAGGGAAGAGAGGGCCGTGCAGCCCCCCGGGCACGACACATTTTACAGCCTTTGTGGAAAATTCCAGCCCTGCATAATCTCCTGGGGTTCCTGTAAGATTGTGACACGGAGAAAGGGACCAAACAGGAAAGAATTAGAGGGAAAAATGCCTCTCTCCTGGCAGCCACCATGGCTGTGCCAGGAGTTAGCAGCAGCAGAGCAGCCAGCCCTGCCTCCCCCTCCTCCGGCCGCCTCTATAAACACGCAGGGCTTACTCAGAAGATTAGGAGGGAACGGGGCAAAAGACAACAGAGTCTCTTTTGTAATGAGGAAGGATTACAGCATCAAGTGACCGGCTGCAGCTCCCAAGTGGGTCTCAGGCTCCTTAGCACAGCGTGTCGGGCAGGTTCAATCCCCCCATGAGCCAAGGGGGCACGGGGAGGCGGGCGTGGCGTGGGCCACAAAGGACCCAGCGGGGACACGTGCGGCACCAAACCTCCCCAGCCTCCAGCGCGGCAGAGGAGCCCGGCACTGTGAGTATCCCGTCCTCCTGAGTGCAGGGAGATCCCCTCTGAGACCTCCCTGCCTTCCTGCGACCTCCTCTCGCTTCACCCCTCTGCTCCGTCCCCTCGCTCTCCAGCTCTGGGGTACCCGCTCGTGTCTCTTTGCCGTCTCACGTGGTGGGTGATGCAGCTGATGCTGCAGGATGCCGGTTGCTGTGGGTTCCCACGCTCTGGTTAGTGGCAGGGGACCTGCAGGTGCAGTGGTTAGTCCGGAGGGATGAGGCAGGTGGATGCAGGCAGTGGCAGGCAGCAGTGCCGTGCAGGGGGATGGCTCTTCCTCCCCGTACTGACCCCGGTGTGTCAGCGAGTCACCTCCCACCTCAACCCCAAATGGTACTTGGAGCGTGCCAGCTGCCCAGTGGCATCCCTGGGCAGTCCCACTGAGGCTGGCAGGTGGGCAGGGAAGTGCCTTAACCATTCTGGGCTGGAGGGAAAAGCACTGGGGAGAAAAAAACATGTCCCATGAGAGAGCAGAACTGCACAGAGGTGGGTGACATCCATTATTTACACGGACAAGAGCTGGAGTTTTCCTTCTTTGGTAAAAAGTGAATGTGTATCTGAATTACGCAACAAAGAGTCTCCCTGGGCTCTCTCAAGACCCAAAGCATAGAGAAAACAGACAGCTTTGTGTAAGCAGCCCCCCAAAATTTACGGGTTTATGGGCATACGTTTCTGTTCCATACAGCCCATGTGTGTAGTCTCTGGGGCAGTTAAAGCCCACTCTTCCAAGTCCTGTACACAGAAATCCATATGGGAATGGCACAGATGTGCACGAGGATTTAGGGAAATGTGCATTTGTGCAGCTGGGGACAGGGACCAGCTCTGCCCCTCCACATAACCCACGAGAGGGGACTCAGGGACCTGACTTACCCCAGGGAAACCCAAGGGAGGAGCAGCACCAAAAAGCCAAAGCCAGGAAAAAGATATTGTTTGGCTGAAGTGGCCAAGAAGCCCAGACTTTGCTGCTTTTCTTCACAGCAGCAGCTCACTGGAACTACAGTTGTCCCCACCTAGGTGCAGATTTTTCGCTGAGATGTTTAAATAAGGAACATGGGCACAACAAACTTACCTGCCTTCAGGTGCTGCAAGGTGTGAATTGTCTCTTGAAGTGCTTCTTTGTCTCCATCATTCAGGGGAGAGCCCAAGGCCCCAGAATTACTAACGCTGTTACCTCTGTTAAATAGCAACGCCTAAGTAACACCCTGGTGACATGTTAAGGTTTAGAAATACCAGTAGTTTCACACTGGATGATTATTTATAAACCAAGTGATCATTCACCAATCTGCCTGGCATGGATTACACCGGTGTTTTGGGGTTGGTGTTTTTTCTTGGTTTTTTTTTTTGGTTTGTTTGTTTTGGTTTGGTTTTTGTTTGTTTGTTTGTTTTTTACAAATTCAGATTTATATGAAAGTGGGTCTGATTATTCATTGATGATAAAGAAATATTTATCCATGCTAGACTAGAATTGCAACGAGGATGCTGCATGACTGGGAAGCATTTCAGGAGCCTGAATGCCTTTTTTCATCCAGTGTGATTTATTGTGCAACATATGGTGGAAGGAGAGGGGAGGTGGAGCTGCTGGAATTTGGGCTCTGTGAGCCTGGCCAAACTCCATCCCGCAGATCTCTAACAGGGAGGGCTGTTCTGCCTGCAGGACTAGGAGCAGCAAAGTCCAGATACAGCCCTCAAGCCAAATTTAAAGACAGCAGTTCTTGTTGGGTACCTTCATCTGGATCAGTCCTAAGAAACCTCGACTTTCTGGGATTTTTGCTTTCCTTTGGGTTGAATTTTTTTTTTTTGCCAGCAGCATTCCAGGAAGATGCTTCTCATTTTACAGAAGCATATGTAAAACAAATAGTATAACAAAAAAAAATAATAATGGGATAAGCAACTTTATAGTTTGTGACCCTGAGACTTAACCTTACACCAGTGTTTTGTGGGGAGGGGGTGGCACATGGGCTCTGTCTTCTCCAGCCAACCAGCCCCACCTGAATGCTGACAATCAAGCAAAGAAATTCAGGGCTCCACCAGAAAATACACCCTCTGTCACTGTAACCAGCTCACGTGCAGCTCGGGGACAGGGGAAAGATGGCAAATTAACTGCTTACCACTGATTTCCTCCTGGTTCTCTGTGTCACTGACTTCACCTTACCTGGCTTTGGATCTCAGCTGTTTCTTGCTGTCTTTCTTTCATCCTCTTGCTTGTCTCCTCCTTCGGTTGAAGCTCCACCATCTCCTCCTGTTGTGTGTGCCCCAGGAGCTGTGATGACGGTGACTTACACCAACCGTGTGGCCGACGCCCGCCTGGGCACCTTCTCCCAGCTCCTGCTCCAGTGGAAAGGGAGTATCTACAAACTGCTCTACTCAGAGTTCCTGATTTTCATCTTGCTCTACTTCACCATCAGCCTTGTCTACAGGTGAGCACTTCACACCCCGACACCAGCACAGCCTGTCCTGGATCGGGACAGCGGAGAAACGTGGGACTGGGACAGGGATGCTGGACAGACTCTGCAGGAGGGAAGGGAGGAGAGGGAAAAGTGGAGGAGGAAAAAAAAAGCTGAAAGAAAAGGGAAAGCGGGGGGGGCAGGGGAAGGAAAGGAAGCAGCTTTAAGAGGCAGGAACTCAGGGAAGAGCACAACTTGGGACTGACATTTTGCAGGATATTCAGTGAACTGCAGTGCACAGTCGAAGCTCTGTGTCAAACCCTCGGTACCACATATTGTCCCCCTGAGTGAGAAAAATAAAGGTGGTCCCTGACATCAGGCTGCATTACTTACCACACGTTCTGTGGCCTCTGGGCTGGTCAGTGGGGTATTCTGGGGATGTGGGCTGATGTCCCAGGCTCATGAGAGCTGTTCACCCACAGACTCCCTGTCCTTGGCTTCCCCTGCCAGACTCACCCCAGCAGGTCCAACAAGGCCCAGACTCTTCTCTGAGGCTGCTGCTTCTGTTTGTCCCTTTTAGGCTGATCCTGAGCGAGAGCCAAAGGCTGATGTTCGAGAAGCTGGCGCTGTACTGCAACAGTTATGCTGAGCTAATCCCTGTGTCCTTCGTGCTGGGTAAGGAGCTCTGCCTGAGATCACATAGGGAGGGGAATGGGGCAGCACTGCTTCTTCCTGGTTTGATAGAGATTGCAAATTTCTTTAGGAAGAAATTATTTGTTGTTTAGGAAAACATTCTTCCCTGTGAGGGTGGGGAGGCCCTGGCACAGGTTGCCCAGGGAAGCTGTGGCTGCCCCATCCCTGGGAGCGTCCAAAGCCAGGCTGGATAGAGCTCTGAGCAACCTGGTTCACTGGAAGGTGTCCCTGCCCATGGAACAAGATGACCTTTAAGGTCTCTTCCAACCCAAACAATTCTGTGATTCTATGAAACAAACCACGAAACCCCAGGCTCGTTTTAGCCTGAAGGTCTGAATTCCCCTCCGGTTATTCCTGCGCCCATCCCTGTACGAACACTGGAAGTGAAGCAGAGGAGAAGAGCAGAGCTTCCTCCTCTGGGATGCCTAACCTGCTCAGCCGCCCTGCAGGTTTCTAGAGCTTCCTACTCCTCCCTTCTCCCACTCCTCTGGGATGCCTAACCTGCTCAGCCGCCCTGCAGGTTTCTACGTGGCGCTGGTGGTGTCGCGCTGGTGGGCTCAGTACGAGAGCATCCCGTGGCCCGACCGCATCATGACGCTGGTGTCCTGCAACGTGGACGGGGAGGACGAGTACGGGCGGCTCCTGAGGCGCACCCTGATGCGCTACAGCAACCTGGTCAGCGTGCTGATCCTGCGCTCCGTCAGCACCGCCGTCTACAAGCGCTTCCCCAGCATGGAGCACGTCGTGAGGGCCGGTCAGTCCCGGCACCGCCACCTGGCTGCTGTTCCTGGGGCAGAGAGCCTTGGGAAAGGCCTCCTGGCCTTCAGGTTGGAGGTGGGGTGGTGCTGCGGTCTGCTGAAGGGATGATTTGCAGCAGGCAACAGTTTTATGCTGGTGGGTGGGAATTGGAGCCTCCAATCTCCAAACTTGACTGCTGGGCTCCCCTGAATCCTCTTTGGGAGGATGCTCCTCGAGGTACAACGTGTCCCAGCCTGCCCAAAGGGAGAGGGTTTCACCTGCCCCCGTTATCTGGGTTCCCTTTGTGATGCAGACAGAGAAGCAGGCACTCTAAGTCACGTGTTATGCCACTCCAAACAAACAGCTGTGGACATCAGGCAGGGGTACCCTCAGCAGTGCTGTGATCTGATCAGGTGTGCTGCAGACAGCCAAAGTGAAATCCCGTAAATCCCACCTCTCAAGCCTCTGACTCAAAATTTGAACAGTGAGGCTTGTCCTCCTTCCGCACGTCTCCCGAAGTTCTGAGCACCTGAGTCTTTCCCACGGTTTTTAAGGAGAGCTGAAGCCACCACCTGAGATCCAAACGTTTTCATTTTAGACCAGATCAATTCCTTTCTGCCCCTTGTGGCCGTCCCTCTTTCATCTGCCGTCTTCCACACAGGCCTCATGACACCAGAGGAGCACAAGAAGTTCGAGAGCTTGAATTCCCCCCACAACAAGTTCTGGATCCCATGTGTGTGGTTCTCCAACCTGGCTGTGAAGGCGAGGAATGATGGGAGGATCCGGGACAGTGTGCTGCTCCAAGGAATCCTGAATGTGAGTGACAGAGGCAACCGGCAACTGGGTGAGATCCTGGGGATCCCTGGGGATGTTGCAATAACTTTGGTGGGAAATGCTCCCAGAGCTTTCCATGGGCTGCTGACATGGCACACTGTCACATATATTTGAGGGGAGGGCAATGTGACCACTTTCCCAAATGGGAGACTGGGAGGAACCACCGGACTCACCTTTAGGTGTGGAAATGGGAGGTATCCAAGTAGCAGGTGGAGGTCTCTAGGACTGCACAGCTGGGAAGCCACAAGAAAGCCACAAAAGGTATCTGGAAGAGATCGGGAGAGGTCAAAAAAAAATCCCCAACAATGAAGGTCCTGTAGAAAACCTCATTGTTGAAAACTCTTTGATAGCCACGCTCCACAGGCAAGACCTGGCAACAATCCCTGCCCAGCTGCATAGAAAAAGGCTCTGGAACAGCTCATCCTTCTTGGTATTCATGTGCAGAGAAAGTCACGTGGTTTCTGTTGCCTGGAGTGGGATTCATCTGCCCAGAGAGAGAGATCTCCCTCTGGTAAACTTACCTATAGGCAGGAGAAAGAAATGGATATGCCTGAGACATCCTTTTGCCTCACCTGTTGGTTGCTCACTTTGTGAGGAGATAAACTGCTGGGAAGTGAGTTAGGAAGGGATCCTGGGCTCAGATGGAGACACTCAGGCAGCAAGGAGTTCCTCCAGGGGGGATGTGTGAGATCCTGCTGGTGCTCTGCTGGGCTGGAGCTGAGCACCACGGGAACAGGAGTCCTGGCTGAGCCTGCCTTCCAGAGGAGGTGCAAGCAGGAGGGGATGGGCTGGAGCAATGAGGGACAGCGGTCCCAGGGAGGCTCTGTGTCCTCAGGAAGGAGGTGCAGAGTTATTTTGACAGGCCATTCCTTTTCCCCGCTGCAGGAGCTCAACACCCTGCGCAGCCAGTGCGGGAGGCTCTACGGGTACGACTGGATCAGCATCCCCCTGGTCTACACCCAGGTGAGAGGGGATCCCCACACCTTCTGCTCCAGCACCTGCCTCTGCACATCCCAGCTTACACCCTTACCTAGAATCCTGGAACGGTTTGCATCAGAAGAGACCTTAAAGGTCATCTTTTGAAGTTTCACTCCCCTGCCATGGGCACCCTCTGAGTAAAGAATTTCTACCCAGCATCCAATCTAAACCTGCCCTCTGCCAGTTTAAAACCTTTGCCCTTTGTTCTGTCACTGCGTGCACAAAAAGTCCCTTCTCCCTCTTTTCTCTAAGCTCCCTCAGTCTCCCCAAAACCTTCTCGTCTCCGGGCTGAACAACCTGTAGAAGAATGCTCCATACATATCTGCCAGTTTGCAGGGCACACATTCCAGACAGGGAGCTCCAGGGGAGTTGTGCCACACGTGTGAGTGAGCTCTGTGCACGTCCTCAGCTATTTAAACAGCCCAGGCAGACACTTTGGCACCGACTTGCCCCTTTGTCTCCTATAATCCAGCTGCTCAGATAACACTAATGCCCTCCACTGTGAAACAGGAGCTGCTGAAGGTTAATGGGGAACACCTTGGGAAAGTTTGTTCTTGTTTTGAACCCCCTTGCTTGTATCAAGAGAGTCTCAGTTACTGTTAATTTGAAAAAGGGAAGTTTCCAGTCCCGTGGTTATAGAGAAAAGCACAGAGCTCAGCATAGCCTGAGATCCAGGCAAGCAAGCAGGCAAATAGAAAAAAGGCTCAGCAGGAGGAACAGGAAAGAAGGAGCTCATAGGACTGCCAGGGTTCCCTTCCAGACTTGGGAGCAGCCTGCCAGCCTGGACTGAGCCACGAGACAGCTTTCAGTCCATCCAGGATGTCATGTGCTTCCTTCTGCCACTGCCCTGTGACACCTACACAGATCTCCTTCCAGGGACAGCCTGGAACGACACACAGTGCATGCAACAGCCAAAGGGAGTACTTAAAGCTTCCTGCCGTGGGAATGCATCCCCCTGCAAAACAGCAGCCTGTCCTAAGTGGATCCAAGGCTTTCCAAAGGCTGCAGAGCCAGAATCTGGCTTTGGAGATGTGTGGGGGGTGGAAGTGAAGGGAAATGCTGGGAACTCACGCTGCCCTGGTGTGTCCCTTGGCATCTTTCCCAGGTGGTGACCGTGGCTGTTTACAGCTTCTTCCTGGCCTGTCTGATCGGGAGGCAGTTCCTGGATCCAGAAAAAGCATATCCTGGCCATGAACTGGATCTCTTCGTGCCTGTCTTTACATTTTTGCAATTCTTCTTTTACGCTGGCTGGTTAAAGGTGAGTCCAGGAAAATATGTCTGGAGCTGGAATCTGACCCCGCCAAGGGTGAGCTCCCCAGGGACCCAGCTGTGTGTTCTTTGATCTGTGCACAAAAACGGGAAGCCAAGTGGAGGCTGAGGGAATTGCCAGGACCTTCTAATTTTCCAAATGTGTCACCCTGGAGAGCAGCTGCACCTTCCCTAAGCTTTGGTCCTGGCTGGTTTAGGGAAAAGAGAGGCAGAAGGCTGCAGGAGGGGCTGTTACTGTGTGTGCCAACGTCTCCCAGCCACTGGCAAGCCTCCGCTTTTAACCCTCCCCTTTTTGGGAGGAGCAGCCTTTCTAGGAATTCGAGGGACATCACGCTTGTCCCTGCCCCACAGGGCTCCTCCCTGCAGGGAAAGGGGCAGGTATGACCACGGTGACCTTTGCTCTGTGCTCTCCACGTGCAGGTGGCCGAGCAACTCATCAACCCTTTTGGGGAGGACGATGATGACTTTGAGGCCAACTGGCTCATCGACAGGAACCTGCAGGTAAAGGGAGGAAGATCCTCCCACCCTTGTCAGTGCAGTCACCAAGTTCTCCTGCAAAAACCTCTGCCCCCACCTCCCTGCCTGTGAGGGGATGGAGAGACAGTCCCTCCGCAGTTATGGGGACAGCCAGGGCTCCAGGAAGGGTGTGGGGCAAGACCCGTGCCAGGAAGACCCCCCTGTTCTCCACACTAAGGAATGTGGGGCTTTGGGCCCTGCCCACGGCAGGGTTGGATCAAGGGTTAGACTTGATGATCTCAGAGTTGATTCTCTCGTTCTGTGATTCTGTGAGAAACAACCCAAGTGACAGGAAACCACAGCAACCTCAGCCACTTGCCCCATTTCCGTGCTACACTGCTTCCCCCTGCCCTGCATTCCTCCATCCACAGGTAACAGGCTGCTCACCTTGGATGACATTCCCGCTGTCTCCTGCAGGTCTCCCTCATGGCAGTGGATGAGATGCACCAGGATTTACCCATCCTGGAGAAGGACCTCTACTGGAATGAGCCTGATCCCCAGCCACCCTACACAGCAGCCACCGCCGAGTACAAGCGCCCATCGTTCCTCGGCTCCACTTTTGATATCAGGTCAGTCCAGGGTGTCACAGCAGTCCACAGTTACACCTGGATTAGGTCTTCAGTAGGATATTACACCTGAGGAGCAAGAGTGGGTAGTAATATCTTTCTCCATAGTCTGTGAAACCTCGTTCTAAGATCCCTTTAGGCTCATGCAAAGACAAGAGCCAGCATCCTCCATGGAAAAGGATGACTCTGGCCTCTTTCCCCCACTCACCTGTGCTGTGATCATCCCTGCTTTGGTGGGGCTAACACCTCTAATGGCAGTACAGGGAGAGGTCTGCCACTGGCAGCAGTGGCAACACAAACCCCCTCCCTTTGTGGTTGCCTTAACAGCCCTGCTTTGCCTTTCCCAGCATGCAGAAAGAAGAGATGGAGTTCCAGCCCCTGGAGCAGATCAAGGAGAACGAGGAAGCCAACCACTCCACCCCGTTACTGGGACACCTGGGACGCCTCCTGGGCGTCCAGTCACCAAACTTCTCCAGGTCCTCCTCCCGGATGAACCTGCTGCGCAGGCGAGGAGAGCCCACGTCGCCCTTCTCCCACTACACCTACCAGGACATGGGGAAGTCAGGAAGTCCTTGTGGCATCCATCAGCCAAAGGGAGACTCCCAGGAGCAGTGGGACGGCGAAGATGGGAAACTCAGGGAGTTGGATGCCTTCATGTCAACCCCTTTCTATGAGAGACCCGGTTTCTACAGCGCTCCCCAGACACCCATCAGCTCCATCCCCATGATTTTCCCTTCCAGACGCCAAGGCCGGAAGAAACCACCTGCTCTCTCCAGCATCGCTGCCTGCTCCACTTCCCTGAGGGATGTCATTGTCAACGCCTCCCCTTCCAGGGCCAGTGATGTCTACAAGAGCCAGAGCTCCCTGGGCTCCACTGCAAAGGAAACCTTCGTCTGGCCAACGGATCGGGGCAAAGGGCCCGACTCCACAGCTGTGACAGTGGAGGAGGAAAAGAACAGCTCCAGAGAAGCTGCCATCACAGGAAGCCCAGGAGCACAGTCCACGGCATCTGACAGCCCCAAATTCCCTTTTCTGGCAGAGTCCCCTGACCAGGAGAAGCAGGGCAGCTACAAGAGCCTGAAGAGCTTGAAAGCTTCGCACCCACCCTGGCTGACCCTGGAGAACGCGGCATCAGCTCCTCCCAGCTCAGAGCATTCTGGTGCCTTTCACACCCCCGGTAACAAAGTCCCGGGGGGAAGCACCTCCCTCTGCTTCTCCTTCACTCCTGTGACCTCTCCAGCCCTGGAGAGATCCCACAAGGGGAACCTCGGCCCCGACGCTCGCAGCCTGAGCTTGGAAGACGCAGCCAGCGCTCCAGACCAGCATCCAGAGGTTTCCAGGAACACGAGAGACACTGGGAATGGAAGCACCAACCCACCCCCTACAAAAGAGCCAAGAAGAGCAGAGAGTCCATCCCCCAATGACTCCGGGATCTCCCTGGCCGAGGGCGACTTCGTGGGGCTGATGGAGGTGATCATGGAGGCCAGTGAGAGCCCAGGGGAGGAGCAGGTGGACCAGTACAGCTAAAGGAGAAGAGGTTCCATGGGATACGCTCCTTGTCCTCACACCTGGCGCTCACCTGAACAGAAGGGCAGTGCTGGACATGCAGCCAGAGCCCGGCCTGGGCTCCAACCAGCGCTAAGGACACTGCTCCTGGTGTCGGTACCGTAAGCAGGCTCGCCTTCTGCTGTAACAACACAACCACCAAGACCCCAAGTTTTAGCCGGACCCCAATGAGTGTTAAGTATTGCTGGTATCTCAGCAGGCACCAGCCAGGTGTAGCCCAGAACAGGAGCTTAGTTAAAATGGATACTTACTCCCCTCCTCACAGCAAGAAGTAGAACTTGAGCTTACAAGTCTCAGGCAGGACTTGCACTACTCCAGGGAAAGTAAGGGACTGAGGCGAGTCACACTATTAGCGATGCAGACCCACAGTGCTTCCTCCAGTGCTGTCTGGCTCTTTTCCAGTACAAGGAAAGTACTGGAGTAAGGCAGGGTAAGTGTCTACACGCAGTACCTGCCCCCATATTGCTTCTTTCTGAATTTCTCTATCACCCCTGCCACGGATTTGAGTGCTCAGAGAAATGTGGATGGTAGCAGACACCACACTCTGCCGAGTTCTACTGCCCACCCTCAGAAAATAAAAGCAAGGCTCAAGCCCAGGACCATCGCTTCATTTCCTCATTTTAGTTCCCATGCAACGGGAATTTAGGGAAACCATGTAAGTTCTACTTCTGCCTTCAGCGCCAGCTGCAAGACTCCCACACCACATGACAAAATTTACCTCCCACACCCCTCCACTACAGCTGCCTCCTCTCCCTCAAAACTAAACAGGAAAAGCCAGCTGGAACCAAGTCACTTTATTGGCTGGAGGGCAGTACATAAAACACAAGAGAGAGGGGGGGTGATATTTGGTACAGAGAATGGAACTGTTTCTCTAGGTAGCTGAAGCTGCATGCACGGCTGGACAGTAAGTAGTAGTCCCACTGAAACCCACAGCGTGGCTCTGGGCCAGCCTTCAGCTGTTATTGTCACTTTCCCCGAGGGTGTGCTTGTCGAAGAGGTACTCGGCCATGCCGTATTTCGGTGCCCCCATCTTCCGCAGGTTGGTCACGTGGTCACCAAGCTCCTTGATGGCTTTCACCTGCTCATCCAGGTAATGAGTCTCAATGAAGTCACACAACTGCAAGGGAGAGGAGAGTTTAAATTCAGGCCCAGAAACGAGAGGGTACAGCATGACAACTTGCAAGCTGAGATGAAACAGCTTTTAAGTTTTGCCTCAGCAAAGCCAGAAGGAGATCAAAGTGAGGCAGGGCTGAGACAGGCACACTGGCTCCAGAACCCTGCAGAGCTCAGGAAGCCTCTCCTCTTCCCCACTATAGGAAGCATTAGCCAAGTCTCTGAACAGATTTTCACTCCCCCACTACACAGCAAACTCACAACTGTGAGGATTTACACCTCTAAGACAGGCCAGTTTTATTGTTTTGTTTTAAACAGTCCCTCCACCTTACACATGACACTCCCAAGAGTATGTGGATCCACACACATTAATCTCTTCCAGATACTAAACAGCCTCAATCCAGCCTTGCCTAAAACTTTCACCTGTCAAGAGCCCTGTGTTTTCAGACACTGTCATCAAGTATCAGGGCCTTTAACATTCAGAAGTGACACCAGAAGTTTGTGGCAAAAAAGCCTCGTAAGATAGAACTCCACCACCTCAGAAACAAGTCTCCATAAAGCTTAATACACTTCAGAGGAAATAAAGCAAGTTCCAGCTACCATAAAAGGAGGACAGCAATAACCTCAGCAAAGGGCTGACGGACAGGCTGACACCTGGGCCCTTCCCTCTGGAGGGCTGCACCCCTGGTTCACCTTTTCTCACCTTTATTAACATCGAGGGCACACAGCTCAGCCCTAAACCCACACAATTAGACACATCCAAGCCCCCTCCTCCAACAGCCACACTCTCAGGCTCAGCCTCCACTTACGTGTGGGTCGTTCTTCTCGGTTGCCAATTTGTGCAGTTCTAGCAGTGATTGGTTCACGTTCTTCTCCAGGTGCAGGGCACACTCCATTGCAGTCAGGCCATTCTCCCAGTCATCACGGTCTGGCTTCTGCCAGGGGAAAGCACAGCCCATGTTTTCTCTGAGTACCCACAGACCAGCAGGGAGCAAAGCCTTTAGACCACCCTCAAAGCTTCTTTGGACCAAGTTCAGGCATTTTGGGTAACATCAAACATTTGATGTGCACTCTCAGAACAGAACTGAATGCAACACCCCGCTCACACTTCTCAAAACAGTGCACAGAGCACTTCTGCTTTTAAATTTAATGGTGATGAACCAGATGCCTTCTTGTTCTGTCACAGCAAACCATTACCCTCTTCTTACAAACAAAAAGTACTTTTTCTTTGCCAATCAGCACAAATTATCAAATTACTACACATCTCAAATGACTCTGCTCCTCCAGCGTCGGCTGCTGCTCCTTCTGGGAGAGGACCCAGAGGGAAACCCACCTCCTCCCAGCCCCCAAACGCAGCTGTGGGCCAGGAGGGCCTGCTCCTCACCTTGATGTCCTGCAGGAAGATGCGCCCTCCCCTCTGGTTCTGCAGCTTCATCAGCTTCTCCGCGTGCTCTCGCTCCTCGTGGGACTGATGCAGGAAGTACTTGGCAAAGTTTTTCAGAGCCACATCGTCCCGGTCAAAATAGTAGGACTGAAAAATAAGGATTCACAGGCTCAGAACCCCAATCCAAACCCAAAATGGGGCTTCAGATGTGCCTCAGCCCTGCCTCAGGATGGCACAAGTCCAAGCCGAGGCCAACAGACAGCAAGGCAGTGTGGAGCAACCCTCCCCTTACTATATTTCCAACTAGGATTAAATTTTAACCTGTATCCCTACCAAGGACACAAATAATGGTAGTTGTGCCCTTGGGTTATCTCTGAAGATAAAAAAAAAAAAAAAATCACTCTGATACCCCACAGATACCTGCTCTGATCACCACTCAAATGCCTTAAACTGCAGCCTTAAAAAACCTTGTTCATAGAGAAATCTTCCCTTTGTTCGAGCTTGTTTACAACGATCACAAGTCAGGGTTATCACCTGCAACACCAGCTAAGGGTGGCCATTAACTTCCAGGCACTTCTGCAATAGAGCTCCCATGCCTCCCTAGGCTTTTCGGGGATTAGACTACACAGTACACTTGCTACTTTTGGGGGGGAAAAAAAAATCAGTATCGCATTTAAAAGATAAACGGAACTGAAATATCGGGTCAACAGTGAATACTTTTTTGAAAGCCAAAAAAAAAAACACCTCTAACAGCAATTAGAATCAGTTTGTTTGTTCCTCATTCAGGGCCATCAGCAGGATTCAGCGGAAAGTTTCATATCAACCGCCAGTTATTTACCGAACTGCTGCAGAACTCTCTGCTCCTAAACCAGCAGACTGGACGTTCAAAGCAAGACACCGGTGCTTTGTGTGCCACTGTCACCCACCAAACGCAAGAACAAAACAGCGAGGCAAGTAAACACGGGGCCAAGGAAACCGCGGATCCCTCCCAGATTCACGGAGGAAAGGAAAGCCGTGCCCGGGAGCCGAGCACGCCCGCGGGAAAGGAGCCAAGCGCCTCGCTGGGCAGGCCCTGCTATCCGGCCCAGCCCCAAGGGCAGAGCCCAAGGGAGGCGCCGAGCTGGGCTGATAACGGGGCCCGCCAGCACCGAGATAAAGGGCCTCACCTACACACAGGGCACGGCCCGCAAGGGCCCGCAGGCGCTGGGGAAGGAGGAGGAAGAGGAGGAGCTGCGCCCGCAGGCACCGCCCGGCACCCGCGAAGCCCCCGCCGCGCCAGGCCCGCGCCAGGCCCCTCTACCCCTCGCCCCCCCCATCCCGTCCCTCACCATGCTGAGGTACACGTAGGACGCGTAGAGCTCCAGGTTGATCTGGCGGTTGACGGCGGCCTCGCAGTCCTGGTGGTAGTTCTGGCGCACCTGAGAGGGGGGCGCTGCCATGGCTGGATGCTCCGGTGGGTGCGGCGGTGCTGTGTGGGCGGCGGTGTGGTACGCGTGTGGGAGGGGGCGCGGCGGGCCCGAGCGCGGCCGGTTCCGTCCAAGCACTGTTGACGCAGGAACCCGCTCCGCTCCGCCGCCGACGCGCTCTGAGGGCCGCCTGCCCCGCGGCGCCCTTTTTGTAGCGCCGCGCGCCGGGCACGCCCACCGAGGGGGCGGGGCTTCCGTGCCGCGCTTCTGCTGGCCCAGCGTGACTCAGCACCCGCCCAGGCCACGCCCACCGAGGGGGCGGGGCCGCCGCGCGCCCCTTCCCGAAGCGCCCCCCGCCATGATGGAGCTGGTCCCGCCGGGAAAGGCCTGCGGGATCGCGGAGCCAGACCTGCCCCGCACCCCGAAACACGTCCCCACCGCCTTCCTGAAATACAGTCTAAGTCCAGAAAAATGAGAAATCAAAGGGCGAACGTTAAAAAACCTGAGCCCTCCGGTTACAGGATGGTTATTTCAGCTGCTGTTAGTGCTACCCCAGTCGCTCAGTGCCATCGTTTGTTTTCAATAATCACCGGGTTCTTTGGTCATTCAGTTCACTCATTTATTTTCAGTCACCCCTGGATTATTTTACTTTCCGCTTTCTATAGTTTTAAGCTGATTACAAGTGCAACATCGAGGGCTAGAAACGTCCTGCTTAAACCGAGACCATCTTTTGAAATTGAACTCCTAAAATCTAGGCTTTTACCAAGCCAGCGTTCAATCCTGGCTTTTACCAAGGCAGTGTTCACGCTGAAATCCATCATAAATTTAACTTACTGGGCCTGTAAACTCAGATAATGTAGTTCTACTTCCTGTGCCTGTAAACTCAAATATTTCCTTCTACGTACTGAGCCTGTAAATTCAGATTAAATAGTATTTCCTCCACCTACTGAGCCTGTGAACTCAGGTTAGATAATTTTTCCTCTAAGCAGTTCTTTCTACGGCACTTTTCCAGGCAGTTCCGAACAGCCTGGAGGGAACAAGGAGCCTCTGCCCTCCTTTGTTTCACCGTTTTCTGTCGGTTAAACATCAGAAGTAATTAAGATCTATAAGATAACGTGGGTCATACCAATCGCTTCGGGCTGCCAGGTACACTTGAAATCTCCTGCTCTCCTCCCACACTAACGCTTATGTAAAAAAACGACAACAACAACAACAAAAAAGTCGTAGCTGCTGGGCAGACTTGTATGACTGTGTTCACACCAGAGTGTTTCTCGGCTCGCAGGAACATCAAACAGACCTTTCTGATTACAAAGTTTATAACAGCGATGTTTCCTCCGCAGTTCGGACGTTCTGTGCCACCCGTGATTAAAGCGTCAGTGAGATTGGGGAAGTCCCAGATTCTGCTCCCTGGATCCACCGAGAGGAGAGTTGCACAATGCACGTTGTGTTGGGTGACAGCAGATTTACGTGGGCAGGA